CCCTTTTAGCTCTTTAATATCCCTAGAGAAAGGTCTTAAGGGAGTTAATTAAATAACTTCTCTTTAGTTTTTTACTTTCTCTTTCTTAAAATAATTAATTTATATAATAAGGTTTTATATTATCTCTTAAGTAGTTAATCTTACTAAAGTATTATTAATAATTATAATAAAGGTTATAATATCTTCTTTATTATTATATAGTAATTAAGATAAAGTAATTAGCTAAATAAAAGTTATTAATATATAATAGTTAATTAACTTATATTAAATAAGATTTAAGGTAGATTAAAGTTAAACTAATTAAGGTATTATTCTAAGTAATATAATTAAGTTATCTTAATACTATATAAGTTATTATTAATATATAAATATTAAGGAGCTAGTTTTAATAAAAGTAATAATAATTATATTAATAACTATTTAAGAGAGTATTTCTATTTAAGAAATAAATATATATATATAGTAAGGTTATTACTACTTTATTATTAAGCTATTACTTTACTTAAGTAATAGATTAATATTATTAGCCCTTAAGGTAAAGCTATTAGTTTACTTTATATATAACTTCCTATAGCTTAATAAAGGCTTTTATTTATAATAAGTTATTATTAATATATAAGTATTAAAGAGCTAGTTTTAATAAAGGTAGTAGTAATAATATTAATAACTATTTAAAAGAGTATTTCTATCTAGAAAAGGAATATATATATATATTATTTATAGAGTACTAGAAGTATATTACTCCTAGTAATTTATTAATTCTATAATAAGAGTATAGCGCTCTTATTACTCTAATCCTAAGGTAGGTCTATATATAACTATATAACTTATTTAGGAGGCCTTTATTTATAATACTAAATTTAAAGCCCTTTAGCTATATTCTTATATTCTATATATTAGGCTTTAAGTTTATTAAGGTTAAGTTTAATGTCTATCTAGGTTACCTCTTTAAACTAGCTAATATAGCTAGTTAATTTAGGATACTAAGCTTTAAACCTTAGAAGCTACTTATATAATATAAGCCCTTTATTATATAAATACTATAAGAAGTTAGCTTTATTAATAATATAAGTATTAGTTAATTAGAAGGAGGTATTTTTAACCTTCTAGATATAAGTAATAAGAGTAACTTCCTCTTACTTTATAAGGCTTATAATACCTCCTTATAAGCTATTTATAGCTTTAGAAAGAAGCTCTTTACCTTCCTTTAATAGCTAAATATACTTCTTTAAAAGAGGTAGGTTTATATAATAAATTATAGCTAAGTCTATAATTATAAGTATATAGGTAGGCTTACTATATATTAAATATATTTTATTAAATCTAGAAATATAGATCTATACTACTTTTACTATATAATAGTGTAATTTATTTAAAATTTAAACTATAATTAAATTAATATATAGTAATAATATAATATTAATTTTAAGTTAAAAGCTATTATTATTATTAAGAAATCGCAGGTTAAAGTTACAAGAGTTAGATATAAATATATTAAAGATACAGTCCGTGTCACCCCCTCTCTAGAGGGGGGCTAATTTGTATTGCTTACGTACCCGCCGGATACGGCGCGCTCTCACGAGTAACTAATTCCAGTGGGAATAAAATGGACCCATCCATCTTGCGTGATGGGAGCTCCAGCCAGCCAGCCTAACGTTAGTAGTGGCTGGGGCAATTAGCTTGCGATTTCCGAGCCAGTGGCCTACCCTAAACACCCTAAACTCACAACAGGTAAAGCTGTACCGATTCTGCGAACGTTTAATTTTTTCACAAAAGTGGCAATGAATATTGCGTGGGATATCTTTCTGTAGAAATACCTAACTATTTGCCCTCGAGGTCTTACGAACAAGTTAGCATTGATGTTGGAGTGTCGCAATTGTTGATTCCGCCTGCCTCTGTCGTGGATGTACTGCTGAACAATCAGGCAGCCAACCTTCCGATCGGTCGGTCGGGATGGCTCGGCGTTATTTTGCGAGGTACCTGGGCACATATTGTAGTACAAAGAATTGATATCACAGAAAGTAAACAGTCGCAAAGTAAGATGGAAAAAGTGATAGAACAATTGGCGATAGTAAACCAATCTCGGGACAGTCACAAAGATTGTGCCCTGAGCTTTACTCATTTTGTGAATTGAATGTAGAGTTGCTCGATCATCACGTCACCTGCTGAGGCGACAGGGATCATGCTTAGCCCCGCATCAGGCTCGGGACTTGGGAATCATTGTGACTCGGGCTCGGAATAATATTGAACCTCGCTGAATTCTTGTACAATGCCATTAAAAGGCTCTTGAGATTTGGTTAAAAGAAATTACGAGCGACCGAGTTTCTCCCTCGAGACTCTGCACGAAGGATCGATGTTCTCAGACATGAGCGTGCGGTACACATTTGCCGTTCCGGTGGGGCATGGCTGCTCCCGAGTCCCCGTCACTAAATGGTCGGGTGCCTGACCCTGGAATCTCCCCAAGGTTGTAGGTCCTGGACGCCAGGATCATGCACTGTGCGTACTAAGCCGACTGCGATAAGGCGTTCCAGTGCCATCTCCAGAATGCCTACTACCTACATAAAGGTATCGCAAATATTTGCAGATGGGCTCAAATTATTATTAATTTCTTGGTCTGGATCGCAGCGTAAGGACATTTTTTTCCTGGTTGGATTTGATGGTTGCGAGCCCAACATGGTAACCGCTTATTTGGAGTGCACAGCCTGTCTTCTAGCGCCCACAAAGGTGTAACCAGTGGTGGAACGAGAATGGAGTTTGTCTTATAGATACTGTTTTACCAGATCTTATGATTGGTATTTCTGGCTCACATGGCTCAGACCAACGCTGAATCGGTGGATGCTGGCTGAATAGACTAGTTACCACTGGACCTGTCTACGGAAGGAGATGTGAAGGATGGGAACTGTACTCCCTTCACCGTAAACCCAGCAACAGTTACCCGACACCTCGATTGGCTTCTTGGATTCCAATTAGCCAGTTACAGAGGGAAAGGAAACCGTAGGTCACTCCCGTTGCTTGCCTTTGCGGTCCTGAATCGGGCCTACCAGTCGATAACTGCCCGCGTCTGCACCTCAATCCGCGACCTTCCTTGATCCTCTCCCATAAATATCCCCCTTCCACCACAGGCTCATCTGCTCTTAGCCCTCGCTTTCTACCCTCACAGACTCACATAATCGATTTTATCCTCGCAGACTTACATCATCCCTCCCGTCTGCGCTGCCTCCTCCTTTCTGTCGCAGCATGGCTGACGTTCTCGACGTCCCAGAACCCTGTGTTCTGGGCAAGCTCATCTACCACCGCGGCCCTCGCACTGTCGTAGAACACACTAGATCAGACGGCCAGACGGTCGTCGTCAAGTTTGCCAAACGGGACCCAAGAGCAGCCATCCAACGCTCCGAGGCCACCATGCAACAATTCGCCGCCACCCACGGCATCCTCACCCCCAAAGTCCTCCGAGTCTACGAGATCATGGGAGAGACAGGGCCCATCGGCCGGGCCATCGTGATGGAGAAAGTCCCCGGCGTCCCCCTCGTCCAGGTCTGGCGCAAACTCCCCAGCGAGCTCCAAGAGTCGATCAAGGACCAGTTGCGCGAGCATCTCGCCCTCATGCGAGCCCTCGCCATGCCGTATATCGGACGCGTCGGATACAAGCCCACGTGGAACCTCTTTAACGTCCGACGAACCTACGCCCTCGGCCCGTTCCCGGATCGGCAGTCGTTTGACGAGTGGTGCCTGCGTCGCATCCGCCAGAAGCCCGCCCGGAGCTACACGTTCGACAAGTGGAGGTTTAGGAGACATGTGGAGAAGGATCGGGCACGGTCGACCGAAGGCCAGTTTGTTCTGACCCACGGCGATCTGTCTCCTCGAAACATCATGGTGGACGACGGAAAGATCACTGGCATCATCGACTGGCAGTTTAGCGGCTTCTTCCCCGAATGGGTTGAACATGCCAACGCCACTGTCGTTGCGGCGGGCATGGAAACGTGGTGGATTCCGGTTTTGAGGGAGGTGGTGCCCAAGTGCGCAAAGGGCATGTCCAAGCTGGCATTTGAGATTGAGGAGCACCCAGACTGTTCATACGGAGACGAGAAGGACTTTGCTTTCGATGATTGATGTAATTAGACATCTTCGCCAATGGGTCAGGAACGACGGGGTTATGGTACCTTGTCTGGCGGATCTTGGGCCCCCTTGCACCTACGATGGTTGATGGACATGGTGTAGATGAACTCTGGGTTCATGATATTCTTGGCCCCCAACGCTTCAGGAAGGCAGGTTTAGCTTGACGATTTTATAAAGTAGTTTCTCCCAAATAGCCAGAGGTCTTTGAGTTCATGATGTTAATTTCCCTTCGGTTTTGGTCAAGGACTTTCCAATAGAGGTACAATGAGCTTAGTTTACTAATTGATGCTCCTTCCCAGAGCTATTTGAGAAAAAAATTCGTTATACTGCTATGAAAGAAGCTACCTCTTGGGTCTTACAACACAGGATCGAGATATGGGATTGCCAAGTTCTAAACTGAAGCTAATGGGCTACTACAGCATGGATATCTCCCCTACTATCTTCTAGCATGCTAGGGGATCTTACACAGCGCATTGAAAGACCTGGATATCGTTAAATCACTGTAGTGGATAAGTAGGCGAGGTAACATATACCCACAGTTTAGCTGAGCATGGGATTTGCAAGGACCCAGCTCATAGCGCAGCGCTCAACCACGCATGCATTTCCCGTGAAATAACAGGATAATGACGAGTCCAACATAGGTAGGTAGGTATTAATAAAGAATGGAAGTTCCTGGGCCTTGAGGGCTCCTTTGATTCTGGCTTCTCTCACTTCGTTGCTCGGAAAAACTGGTCTTGCGTGTTCCGGTCCCGCCCAAAATGTCCTCCCAAGTCTTCCTCTCGGCAGCTTCCTGCTCTTTTCCCTCCCGATTTCTATTCTTACCATCTCTTGTTCTGCAATAATCTTGCCCTCCACTGGAAAGACATCGGATCCACGAAACCAATATGGAGAAACAAGTATCCATCCTTCGACAACTCTACTCCCTCGTCGACCGTGGCGACATCATGCTGACTCCTGTTCTTATAGCATCCGCCTTGCAGCTTTTGCATCCCACAATGTCCAAAGCTTTGCACACGCGAAGCACATACGAGACGAATCCATTGCGCCGAGTTTTACGTACCGTGGCTTTCATCTTCATCATGATTCGGTCTAACAGCTCCGAGAGACAGCAGGTCATTTCCTGGCTGCAGAAGCTACACCGTTCGATCCCGTTGTTCGTATTCGAGACCAATGTTCTTGTCTTCACCATGCCGACCTACGGCTTGTAAAGGCACAGCAGACGCTCGGCAACATCATCCCCGGACAGGTGGACGGATCATCAAAGAGTTCTCGAAGCTATGGAGACCCGGATCAGATCTGAGGAAGCATGGAGTTGGAAGTCACTTGGGGAGTCCGATAACTTCGGTACGTTTGGCCATGGTGAAGTACTGGGCGGGTACCTATCCGGAACTGTGGTGGTGTGTTAGGAACAGCCATTGCTTCTTCTCCCGCTTTCATTACAGCATGTGTCTACGGATGCTTACTTCGATGACACTTTAGATCTCATGGCGGCCGGAAGCCAAGGAACCGAGATTGTTTTGGCGGACCTCTACAGCGAGATCTTTGGCAGTAAAGACAACACACATTCGATCGATACGTCCGTTCAAGCTCGCCGCTGCTTCTCGAACTTGGAAGCCCACCTACCTTGCATGGAAATAGACAACAGGCCAATGCCTCCAGCTTATGGGTTCCGCTAAGAAGCTGAGGAGCTCATCAAATGTCCCTATTCCCGAGGGGTTCTCTTTCGTCGTGTAGGCCAGCTGCCACAGCACTTGCGCGTAGTAATGGATGGCGACCGTCTTTATTCTCGCCACAGAGGATTTGGAGCTTGCTGGCCGGCCACCAAGTTGGTGCTCACAAACTTGTTCAAGTCATAACCTGGTCACTTAGTGCCGTAATCCATAATCTCACCGTCTAGGCACTGTCGGATGATAACCTCAAGCGCGTGCGTCAGGAGCTCGACCCCTTATTCGACATGTTGGCCGAGTCCACCCGGGAAATAAAGATGGGTGGCGCTCCATTCTACATACCAGACGTCCCCTTCCAAGTGGTTGGGGATAGGTCAATACTCCCCGACTACCTTGCTGAGATGGTTGACAAGACCGAAGCCGCCATATCACACAACACCATGTTCAACCTGCAACTGACGATAGACATGGTAGCCGATCCGAGATACAATTGGCCGCCAAGATGGCAGTCAGGTTGAAGATGAGAGAGAAGAACACATCGCTGGAGCAGGCAATGGAGAGGATTACTGATTCCGAAATCTCCCACCAAATGTACTTGACGCAGCTTGGGCTGCCGCACATTGACGCCATCATGAGAACTAGCGGGGAGAACAGGCTCAGCGGATTTGCATTGTGGGAGTCACATTACGTGGAGTTTGTTATTGTGAAAGAAAGCTGTCACGCTCTGAGACAAGCAACGTTCCTGAGAAGTTTGTTGGATTTGCCGAAGCGCAATCGGCGGCTTGGAGCTTGACTATTCCAGAGTTTTCGATAGCAGTCACCAACATAAAGTTCTCACAACCTTTTTATATTAATACGTGCTGCTAAGAAACTTGACGGCTATGATATGATTCGTAGTTTCGCATCATGTTCGGCTCTACTACTAAAGGTCACCTTTGGATCGTGGCAGAACTAATAACACGGTGAGCAAGACAAAGGCATATAAATAGGGGCCAGATAGAGGTTGTCCCGCTTCAGAATCGCTTCCATCGACGGAGGCACATCGCGGTAGTGCAGCCACCCTTCGTTCTGGTAAGATTTTCCAATACTGGTGCATGCCATCTAGTCTTTGGAGTGGCGATGATCCATCGTCCATATTATCTCCTGCGCAACGCAATCCCCTACTCGTCATGAAAGTCAATCATACTCGCCACGAAAGCCGATTGTATTTTGGCATTGACACTCCGAAGGTTTCAACAGATTTATCTCCATCATAGTATTTGAAATACATAAATGGAATCCCATCGACCTACGCCCATCGACCTACGCCCATCGACCTACGCCCATCGACCTACGCCCTTCGAGCAAGCCCTTCGAGCAAGCCCTTCGAGCAAGCCCTTCGAGCAAGCCCTTCGAGCAAGCCCTTCGAGCAAGAACTATGAGAAAGAACTATGAGAAAGAACTATAAGAAAGAACTACAAGAAAGAACTATAAGAAAGAACTATAAGAAAGAACTATAAGAAAGAACTATAAGAAAGAACTATAAGAAAGAACTATAAGAAAGAACTATAAGAAAGAACTATAAGAAAGAACTATAAGAAAGAACTATAAGAAAGAACTATAAGAAAGAACTATAAGAAAGAACTACGAGAAAGAACTACGAGAAAGAACTATAAGAAAGAACTACGAGAAAGAACTACGAGAAAGAACTATAAGAAAGAACTACGAGAAAGAACTACGAGAAAGAACTATAAGAAAGAACTATAAGAAAGAACTATAAGAAAGAACTATAAGAAAGAACTACGAGAAAGAACTACAAGAAAGAACCCTCTTAGCGAGACGAAGAGGGGAAGGAAATACACAAGCGCCTTCCAAGTTATCTTTGCGCTTTCCACAGGCGCGGCAGGTGCCCCAAAAGGAGGAGAAAGTGCCATTGGATGGTGTGTGGGTCGAGTTGCCATCCTACCTTGGCCGGGTTCAGGGGTAGAGTACTTGAGCAGGGGTTGTTGAGCATGAATGCCGATTGCTATCCTTTACTCTATACTCGAACTCTGATCCGTATGTTCCTCTTTTCTCTCCCCGCTGATGATTACCTCTTGGAAGGCCAATGCGAGTGGCTCCGACGAAAGAATGCCTACACATTCCCTTGTGTGGAACACCTCACTCGATGAGTGTTCTAGGCGGGCTTGTGTAGTTATGATACCGCTAGAAAACCGTTGTAATCCAGCCATTGCGAAACTTAATCTCCAGTGACAACAGCAGACTTTGCATGCTATTCTCAAAAACCATGGCCGGTCCTTGTGACCATAGCTCGCTTCGGAATCAAGTACCATTCGGTGGTTAATGAATTAAGATTTTCACGTGGATGCGTGGAGGGCTCATGTCGGACTGAACATTAAAGCCGGCGAACTCGCGTTATCCAATATTGGGGTGCACTGTTGAATTCACGCAGGCTGGCTGCAAAATATTACCACAGTGCGTCTCTTTTAAGGTACTTATCATTATGGGCGCGGAATGAATTCATTATCGCAGGAAATACTCCATAGTCACATTTTCTTCTTTAGACTGAATGCGGCTTAAAGGGGTAAATTTAAGGGGCAATCTCGGTCGAGCGATGCCGAAGATACATCTTTCAAATGATTCATGACTTCCAATTTGCTCATATTCCATTTGACCTGCCGTATCTTGCCATATTGGAAGAGGAGATCGAACGTGACGGAAAGTTGTTTCTCCAGAAGCTTACTAAAACCTCACATCACACCTTTTCCCAACTGGAGTCGCGAGAAAGAAGTTGGCCGGTTCCATCATTTCATCATTCATCCGAGCGCCCAGTCGGAGGCTTTTACACTGTCGGAACAAGGTTGCTGCTCCAAGCCGAACTTCCATTCGAGCGAGATGGATACCGGCACATGTTCTCGTCCCAGCGCCGAACGGACAGTAAGACTTGGGTTTCGGTCTATCCTTGCCCATCCAGCGCGTTTCATCGAACCTATCTTTTGTTATTTTCAGTGAGTAGCGCGAGGGATCACAGAACACATACGTCAGGGGGTCAGGGAAAACGTTGGGATCACGGTGCAGCGAGTACGCTTGTGTTTCCACCTCGATACCTTCGGGAACTGCGTATCCTCCAAGAGAAACTCCGCCTTCCGGCACCACTCGGGGCAAATTTCCTGGCACAGCCCCATACAATCGAAGGGTTTCCTCGATCACAGCGTTGAGGAGTGGAAGCTGCTCCAGGGCTTCATCAGAGGGTGCAGGACCTAACGTTGAGACTTCCTCCTCAATCCGAGCCTGCAAGTCAGGTCTCTTTAGGACCGCCCAGACCAGGTAGGTCAAAGTTATGGCCGTCGTATCAGCACCGGCGAGTATGAAGTTGGAAGCCTCTTTTCGAACATCATCGTCTGTTAGCTCGAATTTCTCCGCTGCTGCTTCACTCTGGGCCAACATGGTGGCAAAGAGGTTTGCTCGGTTGTCACTGTGACAGCGCAGGTTTAAAACGGCTGCTTCGCCATACCGATGGACCAGGTTTGGGGCGGTAACCAATAGATTCAGCTTTGGGATAGGTATGCGACGAAGAAGACCCAAAATGCCTGGAAGCTCGTATTGAAGCGTGGCCCCCAAGGCTGCTGCCTCGAGAACTTGGATATGGTGGGATTTCTAAAGGATTTAATCACCCAATGACTGTATCAAATGAATTGAAAATAACTTACTTCCCCTAACTCGAGGAGCTCAAACGACTCTCCAAATGATAACTGGCCAATAATGTCGGAGGCCATCAACATCCACCACTTCATGATGTCAGCTTCGCCCGTATCTCTGGCTTCGATCATTATCCGGTACACTGCCTTTTCTACTTTTTCTTTCACCACATCTTCACAGTTAGACCTTAGACTGGCGGCGCTAAAGGCGCGTGCAAAAAGCTTCCTTCGAGAAGCGTGCTTCTTCACATCTGTCATAGCGAACAGACCAATTTCGATGCCTGTCCCTCCCGCGCCGCCACTGAAATCCTCATACCATTGTGTCTTAGTGAAGCCACTACCGATCTTGTGGATGGCGACGAATGCATCTGGGTCACAGAAGGCGAGTTGGTTTGGAGATAGCCGCACAACAGATCCGTATCGTTGGTGGAGGCTATGAACATACTGCATACGTCTGCCGGTGAGAGTGTAGAACTTGAGCATGTAATGAGTTACGCGTGTATACCATGGTCCTGGATAACCTTTCAACGAAGGTTTGTGTACCAGTGTTGTAATGATCTGGTATCGGCCAGATTACCGTACATTGATGTTTGTCATATTATCAGCTCACCTGCAACAGGATAACTGCGAGCAGTGCGCCGGCGCCAATCCACAAGGAAACGAGCATATCGCTGGCCAACTTGTTTGACCTTTGAACGAGTGAGTGATTTGTAGGAGATGCCGGAATGTGCGGGGCGGATAATGTCGGTATTTGTTGATGTAATTCGGAATCCGCGGATCCTTTGTCATCATTTCCCCTGCTGCCCGTCATAGATAGTTACAGAAAATGATGTCTGGACTTTAGGGATGAAATAATTAAGCACAGAGCCGCAGTGTAAGTGCGTGGAATGCTTTGACTCCATGGTGAGCTCTTCATCAATGCTTTGTGGCTCACTTAGACGCATTTGGATTCACTCAAGCTAGGTTTCAGCTAGTTAGCGTGTTTGAGTTCATCTTGGCTGGAAATAGATGGAGTTTCGCATGATGCGTTCTATTGAAGATCTTCTGAGATTAAAGAGCATCCATTAGCTCACCCATCTAGACTGGCTGAACGCCGTAACATACATCCTTCTAAGACACCTGCAAAACAGAACGATTGATGGATTCATGAGGACAGCCCCTGGGTTATTTCTGAGTAGATTGAATACGCAGTTGACACAGCTCAGGATCATGACACGCCTTTAAGTGGAAGTTTCACTGGTCACGAGTGGTCTCGTTCTGTGGCTATCAACAGTGGTCTCCCATAAGGATATGAAAATCCGTTGAAAGTCGGAGTCGCCGTTCTAACAGCGTCTCAAATATGCTAAGAGCTAGCTACAATGGCATCAAGCACCCTCTATCTCCAATGCTCGCATTGTCCTTGTGCTTAAGCAATAGGGAGACACTTCCACATAACCATTCCTCAACTCCCGGTACGGAGAAGGCATTGCTGGATGGTCAAGGGCAACATAATGAAGTTTCTTTGGAATAAGCTTGGATATTGCTTTGGAAATCCCAAAGCAGGCTGCCTGCTGAAGACAGGCGTATGGATAACGCCTGTCGTATAGGATTTTGTACGCCTCCTTCGGTTGTATCGATGCATAATAATGCTGTGAGACAAAAGGGACTTTGAGATAATGGTCCCAATAAAAGCAGGGCTGAGCTATACGCGGGGGGTGGGAGTGGAAAGGTTCCATCCAACGGAACTGAAGTTCTAAATATTGGGGTCTTCTACACCAGGAGGCACTTACGGATAAGCAAAGGTTGCATTTTAAACCACCATAAGCACTCCTACGATCCTAGCATTAAACTTACTACTGATAATAGTATTGCTTCTCTTAGTTGAGGCAATCCTAAACTGGCCATATTATTTAAAGGGGGAATTGTATAAGATGTTGACCTCTCTCCTGAGTTCTCTCCCCAGAATTCAAAGTCATCTTCAGATTCATCTTCTTTTCCTTCTCATTCAATCCTCGAGATACTATTTCCAATATTTAGAAAAGTCTCCTTACAATGCGTTACTCAATTGTTTTCTTCGCCGCTCTCCTTGGGTCTACTGCCGCCACGCAGGCCAGCGAGCTCCAGGACCGTGAGGTCCAAGATGTTGCTGCCTCTGCTCTTCTGGAGCGAACTCCTGTCATGAGACCGCCTGGCTGGAAGGGTGCTGGTATGCTCCCTAAGATCCCATCAGGGCCAAAACGTCGCCCAAGTCGCCCAAAACGCCTCCGAAATCTTGAAGAACTCGAGGAGAGAGATCTTTTTGAAGATTCTTTCTCTACTCTTCAAGAGCGAGCCCCTTTCATGAGACCGCCTGGCTGGAAGGGTGCTGGTATCCCCCCAAAGATGCCGTCAGGGCCAAAACGTCGCCCAAGTCGCCCAAAGCGCCTCCGCAATCTTGAAGAACTTGAGGAGCGGGCCCCTGTCATGAGGCCGCCAGGATGGAAGGGTATTGGTATGCCCTCCTATAAGAAGCCATTTATTTTCCCTAAAGGCCGCCCGACCGGCCGTAACCGCCAGCGGGATTTAGAGGAACTTGAAGCGAAGGATCTTCAGCGAAGGGCATTGCCCGGCTCTATGCCTCGGCGTATGGGCTTGAGCGGGTCTCCCATACACAGACCTTATAAAGGTCTTGCGGCCCCTAGGCGCCGTCCCCGCGATGTTGAGGAGCTCGATGAACGTGATCTTTATGATGACGCATGGTTTGACCCAGAGGAGTAAAGTTTCGAGCAAACGGGTAGTTAGACTAGCATTTGGCTAAAACGGAACAAAATGCTGAAATAGCCATGACATCCCTCCTAGACTAGCATCATCCAGGCTCAATGGCATCCATGGTAGGCGGAGGTTGGTGCGTGGAATCGGTGATGGTGGGATTTGTACGCATGGAGCAAGTAGAAAAATTCAACGTTCGATTACTCTTGATGCTTTCACTGGCAGTAGAAGACAACCATATCTGACTCGAAAGGCTTGTATTGGGCTCGCCCCTTTACCCCTTTTTTCCTCCCTCCGGAGCTCACTCTCCTCCTTGGCGATTACGAGGCTTTCTTTACCTAGAAGGCTAACGTGACGTTTGCAGTAGATGTAAAGCTAGAAATTGTAGCAGTCAGCTGTGTACTTGTTTGGGCTTGCGCTACCTACCTAGAGGCGAGCGGTATGATCGTCAAGGCCATGTTTGTGAATTGGGCCGCAGGGTAAGAGGTATCATTGCTACAAGTGGCAAGGATGTGGCGGGATTTTAGAGTAATACGATACTATGACACGTCTGTTTTATAAATCGCTAGCTATCGGTATACTCATATAACCAACTTAGAGCCATGTATATATATAAGCAATGCAAAGCCATTAAACTCCAAGATCTTCGGACCGGGGAATATACAACACGATGGCTAGCACCCTCAAAGCATTGATCCTGAACGGGGCCACCGATGCGGCTAGTATTAAGATACGTATTGAATAATATTGCCAGCAAATGGGTGAAGCCTATCTCTGATATTGTTTATTAAGTGCAAGGATCGTTTGTTGAGTTGGGTTGTCTGGTCTGCTGGATACGAAGCTGTGATAAGTTATGATACCTGCAATGACCAAAATGACTGTAGCTCCATGTAAAACAACAGAAATACACCAAGATGAAGAAGAGGATCTTAACAGAATCCTGGATACAATTTAATAAAGCGTCTAAATTAAGCTGTCGCTATTAGATCCCTAAGCCACAAGCCTAGACGAACCCCCTAGGGCTGCAATCTTTTATGCTTGATCAATCAAGGTGCTCATTGATAGATCGTGGCCGCTTTGCTGAGCATAGGCTAACAAGATCACTAGCCGGAATCTCAGTAGGTGTCGTGGTGCCTTAAATTAAGAGGTCAGGCACAGCCACAGGCTCTACAGTCTGAGAAATCGGCATGACCGACTACTCGGCGGTTCGATGAAGCCAAGCTCATGGCGGATGTGACTTTTAGACGGAATGGCTCTGTGGAGCTGGTGGATCTGTCTGACGGTTGTGATGATCGTTAGGCATTCTTCACCACTTGTGGCGGGCCTCTTGCCAGAGTCTAATTGACGACGACAGGAAACCAGGCTGTCTAGCGTATAAAATAAAGATTAAAAACAAAGCTGGGCTGATGCTGCCAAGCAATGCGGTGGGTACGAGCCCTCAAAGGGGGAAACATGAACCTGGTGGGATCGCTTCATGAATCCGTTTTGGGTTAAAGAAGAAGCATCGCCCAGTTCAATTGCCCACTGCCCGAATTAAATCCCGGACTAGTGGCAATGCAATCGTCACACGTCCGATACTTCCTGCTTGAGAAAAAAATAGAGGCAGCGAATGTCTTTTTTGGGAGCTGCATGATTAAGCTTATTAGTGACGGCGTCGGCGAGGCGGCTTGTTGTTGGCTTACACGGTGGAGGTGGACTTGATATAAAACCTGGATCCGTCGCAATTGAAGCACTCGATGCCCGCACACATTCAAGACATTTAATTATTTTACATTCTACCTACTCTAGGATGGCTAGTGCTTTATTTTCTCTGGCAATTGGCCTACACGCCACCTTGGCGTTCGCAGGGAGCGATGCGTGCTTGGATTTAAGAAATAACCCGACCGTCACCATTGATTCTGGTCCAGTGATGGGGACGATCACGCCCATTCCCAATTCCGACGTGAAGGTTGAGAAATACCTGGGCATCCCTTTTGCAAAACCCCCTCCTCGGTTCAGCCCGCCGGAGCCGATTGAGGCTTGGGCCCCAGCAACGCTCAATGCCACTGAACATGGACCGTATTGCTACGAGAACTACCTGAAGGATGAGACGTACCAGTCAGTAAAGTACTTATTTCCACGGCCCCCGGGAGCCGAGGACGAAGACTGCCTTAACATCAATGTCTGGACCCAAACGAGCAAGCCCGAGAAGCTGAAGCCGGTCATGCTGTGGATGTTTGGAGGGAGCTTCCAGTACGGCACCGGGTCTTCACCGCTTTACGATGGCACTGGCTTTGCTGCCAACCAGGACGTTGTGCTAGTCACGTATAACTACCGCACCAATGTCTTTGGATTCCCTAATGCGCCTGAAATCCCGGATGACGATGTGAACCTGGGGTGAGTTGTGTCAAAGCAGCCTGTGTTTACAAGAATTTATTCTCACTTGAGAGCCTGGCAGATTCCTTGATTCCCGACTAGCCCTCGACTGGGTCCGTCGGAACATCAAGTCGTTTGGCGGAGATCCAGAAAAGGTCACCATCTTTGGGAACAGCGCGGGCGCAGGCATCGTCGACAGCCTCATTCTTGCGCCGCCCGACCCTCTCCCCTTCCGCGCAGCCATCTTGCAATCGGCAACAGCAACCTTCACCGAAAACGAAGGCAACAATGCCAAGTCTAGAGGCGCCATCTGGAAGCTGCTGCTCAAGGCGCTCAAATGCCCCGAGGAGGGCGCGGAGGCCCTCGAGTGCATACGCAAGAAGCCGGCCTCGGAAATACAAGAGACGGTGCAGAACAACAGGATGCCCTTCACTGCAGTTTCGGGCGTCAAGACATGGCCCGCCCAAGGCCGACAGAGGCGGCTCAGCTCGACCAAGGAAAGGTCGGCCATTGCGCGTGTCCCTGTCCTGGTGGGGAGCACCACCGATGAAGGCCAGACCTTCCTGGCAAGGAGTAACAATGCGACCGCAGAGGACTATCTAAAGGGGCTTGCGAATAATACCGTTAACGACGAGATAGTCGACGAGATTCTCGCATATTATCCGATCGGATATCCAGGCATTCGCAGCGAATGGGACCAAAAAGCCAGACTCTCGGGTGAGTACTGGTTCAACACGCCGGCATGGGGGCTTGCAAACGACAGCGCGTCCGTCGGTATCCCCGCCTGGAACTACCTCTTCAACGCGACCTTCTTTGAGCCGGCGTTGTATGAAGGGAGCGGCGCATTTCACGCCTCAGAGCTCCAGCCTCTCTTCGGCACATACTCCCGAGAGAACGGGACGAATGGGGGCAAGGAGCATGAGGCCGTGAGTAAGGCTATGCAGAAGGCATGGGCAGACTTTGCGAAAGACCCCTATAGGGGACCTGGATGGGAGCAGACGCCCGTCTATGGCGTGTTTGGGTTTGGCAATGATGGGAAGCAGGGTTTTGGTACGAGCAAGCTGGAAGGCTTCGTTCTACGGCTGAAGTTCTGGCTGGGCTTGTTTGACTTGATGTCCACGAGCCAATGATTTAGTCCTCTTTCCACTGGCAGCATAAATGGCCACAGAGACGTGTTGGACCGGCAGCAATTGGGTGAATAGGAGGGGGTGTTTTTGAATACCTACTCCCATTGGATCAAGTGCATCTGATTGGTCTTGAGGGCGGCCGCCGCTCCCCCCTTTCCTCCCATACATGAATCATGGACGGGCGGCCAGGAAAGACACCACATTACGACCATTTACTTGTCGGGTACACCTATAATGAATATTTTTAGCAGAAAATTGCCATGATCATTCAAATAAGTCTAGTGCCACTGTAGGACCAGTCGGTGTACATGAACAATGTGCAAGTATGCAGCTTGCCACCCTCCTTTTTTCTGAGAAAAAACCACTACTTTTTCGAGGCTGAGACATTGGTGTTCAGACCCTCCACCGACTTGAACAGCTCACATATCATGAAATCCCGCTTGTTTTCTCACCGAGTTAAAACATGTGGCCTTCTTACTAATAAATGCGAGACCGTAGCGGCGGCCAGATCACATCTCACCTTTTGGTGACTCTTGTTGATGCGCTGCTGCTGGCACACCCAGGCGACCCCAGCTGGCCACCATTGGCGAACAAGTGAATCACACCGCACCTGGGAGGGCAGCCCGGAAAGGAGAGACCTCAGAGGAGGAAAAAGAAAAACCTGAGCTGTCCAATCCCACCCACCAACACACCAAACGATAAAAAGCGCCCGCGTGCCCCCCGAGCAATACGCATCAATCGACCCATCCACTCTGCATCCCTCCCTCTCGGCGGAATGAAGAACGACAGGACGGAGAGAGATGGCTCGGCCACTCCTGTGCCCCAGAATGTCTCGCTCCAGAGACGCTGGGCACACGAATACGCTCTGACACAGCCGGGCTACGATGTGAGTCGCCCTGCCAATCAGCGAGATTTGGGGCTCGTTCGCTTATCTTTCCCACAGGAACTCCCATGCCCAACCGAGAACGACGGGGCTACCCTCATCACCCAGCCCGGCACCCCGTTGCCACCAAAGTTCTACCGCTTCCCGACACCCGGCGATGAAGACTCTCGACCCGACCCGTACACGCCTGCGTCGACGCCCCGGACGGCCATGGACCTGGACAGCCAGATTTTCTGTCTGAGGATCCGGCTGGCGCTGTTTGACGCGATCGTCGCGGCCGGGGGCAGCCATGAGCAGTACCTGCGAGTGGTCTACGACTCGATGACCGATGAACAATTTTACGAATTCGAGAAGGGGTACGACGTCCCAGAATTCCAATTCCGGGTGCCACCGTCGGCCGTGGCGCGCTACAGGGCCTCCCAAGAGAACGATGAAGTCATGCAAGAGGACGACGAAGACATCCAAGAAGACGGGGAAATCTCCCTCGAGGACGGGGAAATCTCCCTCGAGGATGGGGAAGTCCTTGAAGAGGATGGACCCTCTGAAATGCCCGACGCGGACGTCGCCATGGCAGACGTGCCGACCATCAGACACACTGATTTCTGGGTGCCTGTGCAGATCGCCGGCCAGAAGCGCAAGGCCCCGTCTCTGCTTGAGGACCCCCTCGACGCAGAGCAGCCTGATGAACAAACTGGCTGCGAGGACAAGTTCGAGGCTTTCACTTTTGATGAGGAGCTCGGGGGGGATTAGGGCATCTCTGGGCAGGTAGCTGTAGCTGGCAATCTGCTGGGCGGGATTGGCTCAATCGCAGTGTCGAGGTTACGCGGATGGCTACTTAGGCGTGTGGTAGATGGTCTGTCTCTCCTTTGCAGGTTCTCTGTTTGCTTCTCGCTGCTGAAGTGTTATGCGACTATGCAGTGAATTGACTTCGTATCAACTTGGTAATTGAGCTTCGTCGTAGCGATGATGTGATGGATATTGTTTGATTGCCCAGTTCACTTAATAATGGTGGGGTCGTGGTTCTCAGATCTCACTGCCTAAAGCAACTAATAAGGTACCTACGCTGCGGTGTAGCTCTCAAATCCACCTAGTGGTGGCAGCTCTGGAAGCCGAGCCGATGCACCTCGAGTCCTTCTACGTAGCGGGCATTTTTAGGCGGTTCCAGTGCACATCCATCGCTGCGTGGTCAATTTTACAGCGGTGCGACACACAGAGTCACTGACAGCCCAATGCATTGAACATTCAATTTTCAAGGCGGTCGCACGATGGAATCAGAACAGGGCTTCTTGGCTTCCCCACTGCCTCCCGTCCGGCACGCTCCGGCAGCTCTGGAGCAGGACCCGATCATTCAATCCACTTTCGTGTACCAGGTCCGATCTCTCTCACGTTGGCATCAATTGCTTAGCGCCAGAAGGTCGCGCGTGATGCGCTGGAGGAAACCTTGATGGAATGGTACGAGTTTAATCTCATCTCATGGCTCACGGCAAAACGGTTAAAAGTGGACATTTTTGCTTGTTTGCGAGGGAGATCTGCTACCCGCCAAGCTACGAAATCCGCCCCCGCATTTCCAGCATCTGTGCAGTCCAAGTGACTTGGTGTCATGTCAATTTCCTTTGAAGGCGGTAGATTGTTGGCCAAAAATCAAGCAAAGGAAGAAGATGAAAAAAAAAAAGATCGCTCAAAGTCATTCCAGACTGAGCTGACTGAGCCAAGAAGCAAGGTCACTAGCCTGGCCATTCTTTGGGCCGGCTGCTTCATCTTTGCTTTGGCTGGCCCCTTGTCTCATTTTCTTGGCCTTGCGTCGTAATTGTCTTGGCATGTACTTTTCCATAAGTCCCGCGACCGCGTCTTTAACTGCTCGTCGTCATTTCAATTTGTGAGCATTTATACGGAGCACTAAGTAGTCGAGAGCTAGTCTCAACTTACAGTCAAGTGTCTGGAAGCTCGGCGTGTCCAGCAGCGCGACAGCATGACAGGCCGCTTTCTTGGCGAACAGCTCCCTGACATTATCATCAACAATCTCGCTCCAACACAGCTTCAGCATGTCACAGAACCACTCCGGGTTCCATTCCTGGATTAGCAGCCTCTGGATGTGGATGGATGAATACTCGGAAAGCGACTCGATCTGGTAGTAGTCGGCGACGTTATGCATCTTGATGTGAAACTTCATAATATCCGCCGGCGTGCTCGCATTCCTTGTCAGGCACTGGGACAACCAGCTCATGTCGATCAGCTGGCGGTGTCTGGTCCAGAGGATGTCCTCGGCCTGGGCCACAATCTCCTCCACGGTAAGGCCCTCGTTCCCCTTGTATTTCTGCTTGGGGGCGGTGTACGTTCCGTTATACAAGTAGTGGACCATCTGCCTGACCACTTCGACTTCGAACTCGTCGGCTGAGAGCCTGCCATCGGACGCTTCCTACACACCTGTGTAAGCACTGGCCCAGGTCCCCAATAAGTTGAGTTGACATGGGAAAAATCGCCTCAGTTCATTTCTCAATGTTTCGGAAGTGGGAAAACAGAGTAAATGACGAGTAATATTCCACACTAATTGCAGGACTCGGCTGGAGGAGGGGGGGAGGGGTTAGTGCTGACCGTGAAATTCCCATAGAATGCAACCCTCATGAACGGAGATCGCACAGCGGCGAGGTTTCTATGAATCCGGAACTCCTCGCCGCGACAGGTGATGACCGCGTCGAACCCTATATCCTTGGTGAACAGGAGCTCGAGAGTCTCGGCAGCATACGTCTCAGGGCTGGGCAGGAGGAGGTCCTCCAAGTAGTCACGAGAAGGGCCTTGTTCCATTCTCGTGACTCGTCAGACCGCGCTGATTAGGGAGGCGCAGAATTGGGCAGGAAAAAGAGAACGTTTCGCCAGGCCTGACGTTGGTTGGTGGGTGGGCAGAGCAAATCGTATCGATCGGGGTGGTACATACAGGCAGGCGAGGACAAGAAAGAGTCTGGACTCTGCTCAACCGCACGGCGCAGTAACGGAGGGACAGAAAATGACGGATGATCAATCAGGCTTACAAAAAGCAAAGACGCATCGGCTGACCTCGTGGTTGCTTTTTTCCTCGTCTCAAGAGCCCGGACGAGGGGTAGATAAGGAAAGTACTTGGCTTACAGAGGGGTTGCGGAGCGAAGTGGCTGGCCCAAGGATCCAGTGCGGGGGGTGGCTTTTCAGCTGGAGCGGCAGCTGGAGCGCAATGGCTGGCTGAGCCCAGAGACATTTGCGTCACTCGTACCCAACCCAATGTAGCACGTAATCTCGGTGCCTAAGTTATCCGGCCATCTGTCGAGGTCTCTAAAGTGCAGGCCGCGGCGGCCAGGTTCAACTATTACCTAGTCCTGTGATTGGCCCCCTGGAGGATGCACGGTCTGTTCGTGTAACCGTGCAAAGGGCTCGAACTTCGGCCATCCAGAACATTACCCAACTGCCATAATATCTCGAACTCCACGGGGGAGTGGGTACGGTGGGCTATGCTGTGCCGTGTCTTTGACGTGCATGAATAATCAATAGTCGTGGGCAAAGCCAGGCGATACTCGTACTTGGGCTGGAGGTCTACAGGCTGGCCAAGGAGGATGTATCCAGACGGTACTCTACTTACATTCCGGCTGCTACAGGCGGAAAAGGCGTGTGTACGCCAGAGGGTAGCTTGAGCTTAACAATTTTGAACCCCCTGAGCGTATCTACCAGCGTCCTGATCACGGATGCCAGCGTGCACACAATACGCTGCAGCAGCTGTCTTAGAAACCTGCTCTCAAGGTGACTACCCAATGTGCACCTGGTACTAAGGTCTAGGTCCGACTTGGGGCGGGGAAACAGCCAGGTGAATGCGGCTGGCTGCAAGTTATGGACCTATGTGAAGGCCAAAACAAACCCCCCCAAGCCTCTACTTCCTCGACTCACCTTTCCCTCGCCTTTTCTCCATCTCATCACCAACACATGCCCAAACACAAAACTCCGAAAACCAAAATTCTCAAACACAAAATCCCCATCGTCCAGTTTCCCTGTTCGCTTCTTCAATTCCCTTGTCTCAACATCTATTCTATCCTGAACGATTTCATTCTGCCTGAAGCCCATCTGTGATCATATCCACCATGGCTCAGTGGCACCCAGATTTGCATTTTGAAGGCTCCCCAGTCCTCAGAAACGCAGTGGTCCCGGAAAGAAATTTCCAGGATATCATGACCACCTACCCTCTCGTCAGTGAGCTCGATGCCTTCCTGGAGCTCGAGGCCAACGCCGACGCAAACATGGCCTCCGTAAGGGCCTCCGAAATGCCCGCCACAAACCCTCCTCCTCCTCCTCCCAGCCAGCAGGAGCAGCTTCGGGAACCATTCCGACGTTTGCTTCCTGTATACCATCATTACGTCGCCCCGATCCTAGAGTTCGAGGGCGCCTACTTCACCCATGCGATGATGAATGGTCTCAACATACCCTGTGTCCCTCTTGATTTCATCACTGGAGACGTCCTCTCAAGCTACGTCAAGTATTTCCAGCCCATGAGCAAGGAACTCCTCAACGATCGTATCCTCGACAGCAAAACAGACGACCATGTCAGAGAGTATAAGGAGCGCGTCGGTATCCACGCCAACTCCGTGCATGAAAACAACTACGCCCAGGCCATGTCCATTTGGGAGAACGGCGTCGCTCAATTCCTCTCGCCTGGGCCTAGCGAGAATCACAACCATCTCCCGGACCTCCAGCCCAACTTGACTCGATGGAGAGTGGTCAAGTAAGTATTAAAACCCTCAACACTTTGACTTGGCGAGTTCATGCTGACCTCTTGACTTCCCAGCAACGGCTACACACAACTCCACCGTCGCGAGGGTAACGGTACGAACTGGAGCGCCGAGGGTATCTTCAACTACTACACCAACGACGGCGCCGGGCCAGACGAAACAAGGCCACACGTCGTAGCCTTCGTAGCAGACCAGGCCCCCTTGAAGGACGGCCTTCCTTCTACAAGTGCTGTGCAGACAGCCTTCTGGCTCGCCGGAACTGCGGCAGCACAAGACTTTAGGCACAATCACAACGTCTTCCCTGTAAGTATTCCTTACTTTCCTCTAGAACCTCCTTCTTCTCACACCACTCGCCAGGTTACGGTTGTTTGCTGCTCTGGACACAAAGTCCGTGTCCTGCAGGTGGTAATCGATTTCCTCCGTCGCGCAATCGAGATACGACTGTCCCAGATTATCGACCTCCGCGATCCCCCCTTTGGAGACTGGACAGCCTTCCTGCACTTCCTTTGCTGGTTTCATCCCGATCCTATCGGTGAAACCGCCGCTTTTTAAATGACGGCCAAGATTGTACGCGATATGGGTGATGATGTCTCGACGATTGCTCTCTACTTCGTTCTTGACTCGGTTAGTTTTATTTTGACGACTATCTTTTGTTTTCTCATGCTCCTTCACAACAGTCTAAGTTTCATTGTCTTCTCTGCTTATTCTGTCCCTTCATTCACCCTAGTCTCGATTATCCCTAGTTAAGGGCCGTCAGCCATCTGTTGTGTCTTTGATTATACCACACTCCTTTACACAAGGTTTACCTTCACTCTTGTTCTTTGTCTTGTGTTCTTCAATTCCCCAAGATTACTGCCTCGTTTCTTTCTCATTGAGGAACTTCAACCTTCCATTTTTCTTGGCTTTTCCGCCTCGGCTTGTTGACTTGACGAATCTCATTCTGTCGGGGGCATCCAGCACGGTGGGCGCCAACATCATTCTTTGAACTAGCTAGTATGCCATAGGTTTAATCCAATTCTGTATGAGTCTTGTAAACGTAATGCATCACTTGGCTTGGTCTTGAAGAAACGTACTCCAGACAACCATCCACAGCAAATCTTACATCGACTGCTTCCCCTGAAGCTCAAATCTAATGCAGTCCAACCCTTAGCCATTTGACCCTATCCCTTATTCATCTCTATCCAGCGTGATCCTGTAGCCCCAGGAGGCAACTTCAAGTGTACGAGCGGCTTTCGAAGTTGTTCGGGTCGGGGGGGTACTGGACAAGGCGCAGCACGAGGCCGTTCAAATCGAAGTCCAAGGGCAGACGCGGAAACTTGGATGCCTAATCAGTACGGCAACACGCATTGGTAGATGGAATCTGAGATGGTCTTTTGACAGCGTTACCGCGTTCTCGAACGATGTCCCTTTCTTCCGAAAACACGCCCTGGGGGAGCATGCCAACTATGGCGGCCCCGGTGACGGGTCCAAATAGGTCATGGAGAAGATAGAATCTTCTTTGCTGTGATTACAGAACTGCTATTTCAAATAGACAGCGGGATGCTCTGGTACCGAAACAGGTACCGGCGGAAAATTGGGCGGTGAGGAGGCATGAGGTGCCCAGCATCTTCCTCTCATTGCCTCGGCAGGAATTTAGATTCTCCGGCTCTTGATACACCTCCCTTTCACTACCACCCACGAGTATACGCATATGGCACTGCCTATCTCAAACGCAGGAATAATAAGAACAGTATTCCAGTATTGAAAAAAAACATCTATGTTGATACAAAAGACGGCTCTATATTTGAAGTATTCACACACTCTATCTCTGATATCTCCGCAGCCACCCCCGTTTTATCCATTAGAAAACACCAGTTACACCGCTGAAAACAACTTAGATCAGAAGAAACGAAACTAAAGAAAGAATCACGGCGAAGCCGGAAGCCTTAGCAAGCCCGGGTGCCCCGCTACCAGCATCACCAGTAGTCGAGGGCGACGCGCCGCTCCGAGTCGTCGTCGTCGACACCTCGCCGGTCTCGCCGCCGTTGCTCCACTGCTCGACAATGTAGTCGACGAACTCGTCCTTGTGGTTCTTGACGTAGCGGCCGTGGGCGTCGCTGTAGGCTGGACCGACGTCGCAGAACGGATCCCCGGCGTCGCAGTAGGAGCGGATGCGCTTGCCCAGGGCCTCGCAGGCGCTCGTGTCGCCGCGGTAGAAGACGCCGTCGCCGGTCAGGTTGTGCGAGCCGTAGTTGTAGTTTGTGCCGTTCTTGTGGGAAGGGTCGCCGAGCAGAAGGGTGGCGATCACTATTGCGCCGTTAGCACTTGGACGGGGGCTGCATGGTGATTGGGAGCAAATGGTTACCGTTCTTGGTGACGTTGGTGGGGAGAGGCTGTGTGAGAGAGACCATGCCGGGGAGGCTGGGATTGGACATGAACTGAGCCCAGATGACGGGCATGCCACAGAGGCTATTGCTGATGATTTGTGCGCCCTGTTGTAGGCCACCAGTTAGTGTTGCGGGCGGAGACAGTGAATTTTGAAGCTATTCGTACCTGGGAGTATCCTATCCAGGCCATCTTTCCGTCGGGACAGGCCGTGGCGTACTCCGTCATGGCCTTCCTGGCCATCTCAGTGCCATTGACCACCGATTCGAAGTAGTTTGACTCGTTCGTTCCCCTTCTTCCGTTGCTCGCGGGGTACAGAATGGCCGTGTAGTTGGAATCGGGGATCTTGTCAAAGATGGGCACGAGGAGCTTTCCGGTCTCGCCCAACCCTCGCGTGTTGTTGCCCAGGCCGGTCTCCGAGACGAGGGTTGTGTCCTTGTTCTGGGCGTCGACCAGCGGCTCACCGGTTCCACGGCCCACGAAGATCTTGAGACCCTTCACACATTGAGTGCTTGTTGTTTGCCCAGAAACCAGACCTGCAGCGAGAAGGCCGGCCACCGCGAGGGATCGTAAGCCTTGCATGGTGGTGGTTGTCGGTAAGTAGATGTTGAGTGGAGAAGGAAGGAGGTTAGGATATTAGAGTGATAGTGGGGATGACTTTAGAAAAACCGAATCTTCCGGACCAGACTCGCTCTCTTATACTTATTGAAGATCTATGCATCCGATCTCTATTCCCATTCTGAGAAATATGGAGGAGCACCGAGTGCTTGGAATTGCTTGGCTGTGCCATGCGCACACAGCCCAGCCCTACTGGGAGCAGCTCTTGGCATGCGTGCTGAATTTGCCCAAAAGGGCACGATGGTCCGTGATGCCCACTTGGGATGCTGACAAGCTAATTAAAGCGCCCCCCAAGATCCGTTTACTGCTTGATGCCGCGACTCTCTACCAAATCGGGTAAAACGAGAAGCACCAAACGGCTTCCAGGGCGTAATCCATGATCCATGCCAAGAGTGAACTCTTCAAGGTTCAGCCCACATCGTGCACTGACTACGGTTAGTACGCTGAGTTTCCAAGGGCTCAACATTCTCTAGCAGCGAGCTAGGTAGTAAGCCTGGCAAACGCCTACCTGCTTGGCTATTCTAGCTGGTGATCGCTACTCACCCCACGACATCATACCACATGCCAGATGAGCTAAAGATAGGTTGCCAAGCATACATGATCCTGCTTATGTTCTATGGCCCCAAGCTAGAACACTATGTTCCTGCGTCGCGACGTTCTCTCGCAGCTCTCCCACTGCGGAAAGGAAAGACCTGTGAACCTCTTGAGCCTTGGAGGGAAATCACGTAGCAAAGACATATAATTCAGCGCGGAGAGTCTAACAGGGACATTTGAGTATTGCCAGTCGCGCCTCCTTGAGTACTGAAATGGCCTGATGTCCATTGACTCGGTGGATCGGAGATATCTCTGTCTACATAGGGGCTTGCAAAACCCGGCCTCTGTTTTTGAGTTGTTTTTCACTGTTCCCACCTGGTCCTCAATCCCACCCGCTGCCTCTTCCAGCGTCACGGTTCCCCTCAATCAGCCTACTGGTATCAATAATCCCCGAGTTCAAAGGGTGTCGGTTCACTTATCGTCCTTCCAATGGAGTTATATGAACTACTCCGTTGGATAGCTCTCCCGCCGTTTACTACCTCTCTCTGTCGCTCGGAAATCTTTTCCTCTCGTTCGGACATGTCTTTCTCTCGTTCGGACATGTCTTTCTCTCGTTCGAACATGTCTTTCTCTCGCTCATATATCTCCTGCTCTCGCTCAACTATCGTGTTCTCCCTCTCTATTTGATCTCTCTCTTTATTAAGAAGATGGGTCGTCGCATCACAAATGCTTAGCTCCCTGGCCAGTAACAACCTCGGTGCAGCATGTAGCTTCTTCCATTCTGCGATTAGGTTCTGCTCTCGAAAGGTTACATCCTCTTCTCTCTGGGTTAAGAATGCCCTTTCCCAGTTTAACTTTGTCTCTCTTTCATCCAGCTCCTTCTTTTTCTCGATCAGCGCGATATGTTCGTCGGCTATGCGCCTGTAGTGGTATATCACCTCCTCCGCCCTCGCGCTAAGATCGTCACGCGTGGCAGATAGTTCTTCGTAGTCGCTGCTGTCCTGACTACTCCGGGGCGAGCTGTCACTCCATTGTCCAGCATCCTGACCATAGGCAATCGGAACTCCGGTCGATGGAACTCGCTCGGGAGTTTCTGCGAGGGAGCTGGTTCGACTTGAATGTTGAGACAGAAGAGGCTGGAAGGACCAGCGTCTTTCAGGCTGGCCCCCGGTGGGGAGCGGTTGATGGGTCTGCATCTGGACGTGCTTCTGGTTATAAACCGAGATACAAACGCAGGTGTTTCTTTCGTAAACTCGGACTGCGGAGACTAAAAATCTTGCGAAGGAAGATGGTTGACCTCAATTCAACCACTAGCGGTGGAATGACGAAAGAGGAAACCGCGAAATATTTAAAGGGTCCGCACCTGCCCATCGAACACGCCAAACCAAATTGTCAGCTTTCGAAGTTCTTTTAACAGATGACGGTGTGGTTTGAAGAGCGGGCTGGTTCATATAAAAAAAACATCGGGTGCGTCTTTAAGATGGCTTTATTTCAGTTTCAATTGGTCCGCGTGTCATGTATAAGTGTCTTGAGGGATAGATCGCGTACCTACGGCCTTTCTCCTCGCTTATCCACCACTCTGTCAAACATTACGTACCCAACGCTGCACCTTGGTAACTTAAGATATTTTCTTGACGTACACGTTTTTCCCAACGTAAGCTTTGTGTTTTTATCTATTTTGATATTGTCCAATCAAAGTTCTCTGAGTTTCATGGCTCGACGAGATCGCCTGTTAATGAAGTTTGCAGACTTGTGCTGGAAGAAACAAAGGTTATATTATATGTACCTTTATTACACTTAACCTCAACTAGACCTAACGCTTTCTGCATCTCAGCTGTTGTTCCAAAAAGCCTCTACCCATGCTTTCTCCCGTGCTCCAGAACAAGCCCACAGTAGTTCTGAAAGCCATTGTCATTCTACTTTTCATAAATACAAAACCACATTGATTTTCTCGAGTGTAGCAGCAGGAACTATTAGCCTAGAACGAGGTTTCAAATACATTGTCACCCACTTCAACATCTCCCGTGACGTGGATCAGCCGCTCCTTGTTTCGTTCAAGCACTGGATAGTCTCTCTGACATCCCACCTCAAGAGAGCTTCATCTTCTGGATTCGCTTCTGGCTTGGAGAAAACGCCCAACCTTGCCAGCCGCGCATGGTCCCAGAAGACATACCCCCACACCCAGAATTCCGCATCATGGAATCGCGACCTCCCCTCTGCAAGGCTTTTCCCTTCATGGACATATAGAAAAATCTTTGGCGGTCCCGTATCTTGGTCAGGGAAGCGTGAGGACCGCAGGAAACGGCGCAAGAACGCTGCCTTGACTTGTTGAGGGTAGTCACGAAGCTTGATGTTTCTGCCCACCTCCGACGGAGGAAGTGGCCGAAACAATTCCGTGTATCGGTACACGAACTCTTCCCTGTTGAGAGGTAGTTCAGGATGCCTAGGATCTGTGGGTAGGAGCTGAACCATCTCCTCGGGGTTGTCGGAGGCGTCCATAATCTTCCGCGCATAGCATAATCCGCGAGATAGAATCTCTTCGATCCGAGGCTCGCCGACAACATAATTGGTTGCGATGAGCGAGTTGCATTTGAGAGCTGTTCAAATCTAGTTCAGCAATGGTACTTTACCGTCTATCAAGGCTGAAAGGGGAAGGGGCCTCGCGTACCAACTCTTATGTCCTGTGTAAGCCTATACTCAATGCAGCTGAGCTGCTCAATCTCATGTGCCGCGAATGCGTCGTAGCATCTTGCCCAGACCATATTGATCCGATGAGATTCATTCCCTCTAACCTGTGGGAGAATGTATGCTTGCTGGCGAGTAAAGAGGTGGCAGAACATTTCAAATATATAGAGCGCTCGCTTAATACGAATCCGTTCCGCGACGCTCGTTTCAGGCTGGCTACTGCGGTCTTGGCGCAAGGGAAACAAATACCTGAATGCTCGATCAGAGAAGTACTCAACCTGGTGAGCGACAGATTCTATAAAATTAGCGTCCATCAGAGATAGAGGGTGGGACAAAGATCGAGGCGATTCCAGATGCTGGACCACGAGGCGTTCGAAAGCTGGAGTGTTCTGTCGAGGAAGCTTCCATGCTGCTACGGCCGCTACGGCTTCCGGTACAACAGCAGAACCGATATGTGCTGTTATGACAGAGGAACATATGTTGGCTTCGGCCTCTTTGAATAATCGACGTAGATACCGGCAGCAAGCTCTGAGCGCCTTGAGGGACCCAATATCAGAACATGAGCCGAGAAGGAGCGTGAGGATGTTATCTCCAAGGCCAAGAAGGCTGGAGGGCGTTGTAGAACTAAACATGGTATATTTTGGATCTTCGTTGATGGTAGTTGTTGATGTGGAGTGTTCATATCGCGAAAGCGACATGTGTGGCTATATATAATGGAATTTGTGACTGGCGGTACCATCACCTTTCTTATTCAGGGCAGGGTCATTGCAAGAATAATGGCCGTAAGATTCTCATCAATGCGATGAAGAAGCCCAGAGGCCTTCGTCGTAACCTGTGTGGTACTAAATCAATGGTAAAAAGTGAAAAGGGTCTGGAAAAGTTGAAAAACTCGGGACATTTTCCTAATTCTTTGCCTGAATCACGCACATAGTTTCGGCCATCTGAAGAATTTCCTTCTTTGAATCATTCCGGTCGTAGCAAGTTCTTCATATTACAGACTGAAGTGTAGGATTGGGTTGGTAGGTTCGCGATATGGGATATCGCGACAAAGTATCTTCACTCGAGCTGTGAGGATGCCGTTTCAAACCGACCGGATCTCTTCTTCTGCGCTAGCATGTAAATCATGAGAGAATTATCACTAAGAGTAGTCATTTTAGGATGATCGTGATGTAGTGATTTGTTGCAAATCAAGAACATTATCCAGCCAAAGAGACTCACGTCATATAATCACTGGGTGTAGGTCGTTCGGCTTCAATTGCGGCTGCTTGCCGCTCTTACCGAGAGCAAAATTACCTAACCCTGACTATCCCTTTCACGGTTTGTCTTTGGTGATAGCAAGCCATACTCGCGTCAGAAGATCCCAGGCGGGTTTTATATGAGTCGCTTAAGAGCGCTTGCATCAACTTCTTCTGCTTCCAAAGGCGTAATCCTAGACGTGCCCAATTTTCGGGAGATAACATGAATTCGACAGTAGCCAAGATTTCACGATAATGGTCACGATAAAGGATGCCGAAGACGATATTCTTAAGGTAAGATTCAGATCAGTTGGCAAAGACGCATCTGCAAGAGGCGGGAATGCAAGAGCTGATCAACTTCCGTGGACTAGACTGCTGGAACGGAGGTCGCCTAGAACTACCACTCCTTGCTAGCGAACCAACTGAGTTGAATAAGGGGCTCTCCAAGTTTCGAGGCAATACGATTACTCGTAAGCTAATGGCTCTAGAGCAAGAAGAACCAGACAGGGACGGTCGCCGTTCGGTGAATTAAGGTGGAATAATCGGAGGTATGTCATAATTTTGTATAGTTCCTAGGGTTTGATATTAGCAAATTGCTCCACATCTTCTTGGGTTCCATAATCACCGACTTCAATGTCTGCGACACGCTTTAAGGCCACTTGAACTTGAGGGTTAGCGTCCTCGGCGAGCCAGACCGTTGAGAAATCGCCAAGTTCGAGCTTATGCATGGGATTGCAACGACTATTATAACACCGGTCTCCGATTTGAATGGGCTGGAACTCTCCTTTGTTGTGCCGCTCCAAATGCTCCCTATCGCCCAAGCCCACAGGAAGGAATCCAGGGCCAGGCATTGTCGTCGTTCTAGCCCGGGAAACCTTCGACGACCGATAGATTTCGAAATAAGAATCTTTACTTGGAAACGGGAAGACCATAAGCAGAAAGAGACAATGATGCGCAGTGTATTAAGGCATCTGGCAGTCGCGAAGTAGCGGGATGGATTTGTTGTTGGTTAGTTGGTGCCGTCGGCCAAAGGCTTTCCCGGTCCCCGAGGTTGAGCCCACAAGAGAGTTACGTTACGCATCACAGCCTTGGGGGAGGAAGGAGCTACGTACCGCAGGTACGTACCTTACATTGTGCAAAACTGCACAAGACCCGGAAGATAAAACTGCTGTCGAGTGGTTACATCCCCTTGACGAGGAGAGCGCTGGACCTCGAAGACTTCCCAGGCGTATTGAGAACGAAACTCTAGTCGCGTACCTATGGTGCAAAGAATGTCAACGGGTGCAGTTTGGCTAGAGGCATGCTGGAGAGTCTTCGTTATAGTGAGAAAACGGTGCGCCCAACGGCCGTTCGTGGCTGCCTGTGGGGAACGAACCAGAGAGGCCTCATTAAGTTTCAACACTTACCCATAAACAGGAAGACAACGGATCCTTAGGAAACCGGAAATTTGGATCGAACATTTACTTTCAATGCGATCAACTTTGTCTCTTGGGAAATTTTGTTGGGTGTCATTTTCTCAAGTACCAGTTCACTACCTTCCCAAAAACTAACAAGCGCCGGACAAGACACTTCACCACTCCGGTTGCACACCGCAATCCAAACCATGAGAAAGGTTCAAGCCAATGGAAGCCCCTGGCATCCGATCTATCCGTCAAACAACTCGTATCCCGTTCAAAATTTCCCCAACTAGCCATCTTGGCTAGAGCTCCGGTCCAATTTGGGTAACCACCTGTCGAGCCCCTTCTCGCCCCGCCGATCTGAAACAGGAACCATCCGTATGGAAAGAAACTCCGCGAGCTCTACGAGTTTCACCGCGTGCTGATGTTAAGACAGACTATGAAACGTCATTCGGATTTAGTCAAGGCCCTGATTCGTATTGCAACTGGCGCCGGAACTCGGCACAAGGCGTCTGGCGATGATCGTTTCACTTGATCGTGGTTTACTATAAAGCCAGCGATGGCGTCCTCTAGAAAACGTGGAAGCCGCCATCCTATCATTACCACCATCGCCGACAATACGAGCAAAACATTGTTTGAATTTGCAGAATTTTAAACATCAACATACCTCGACTTTCACATATAAACAACGAAAATGCCTTCCTGCAACCAACTTGTCGGCGCTCTCGCAGTAATGGCTGTGGCCGGTACCAACGCTGCCTTTGGCCCTGCCTTCAGTACTGGTCCAGTCGCCTCTAACTCCTTCATCCGTGAATCCACCTCCACTCTTGTTCTCCCTGCTCCCCCGACTAACAACAAGGGTGACGCCTCTCTCTGGGTTGGAATGGGCACTTCCAATGGTGATCTGATCCAGTCTATTGCCGACAACGCGAAGAGTACGGTTGTCGGTGCTTCCAAATGGAACATCTTTGCCTATACACTTCTAGCCAATGGGCGTAAGTTTCCCTTCTTGATACTGGACAAATCAGAGAAGCATACTAACAATCAATCTTTCTTAGCCTCCGGTGGTCAGGAACCTGTTCAAGGAGACGAGTCACCCGCTGTAGCTGGGGATAAGATCACAATGCACTGTAAGTAGCCAATTCCTCTATTCCTCTTGTTGTGAACGGATACTAACACTTGTGGACAGACAAGTACAATGATTCCACCAAGCAGTACGACCAAACCACCCAAATCAACGGCGTGACTGTGTCTACTCTCTCTACTACAGACGGCCACGCCCAAGGCTGGGGCAGTGCTGTAGAGTGCGCCGCCGAAGATTGTGGTAGCATGGGTGCTCACAGTACGTAATCTACTCCTACCTTCCAGAAGTAGCACGAGCTAATTTCAATGTCTAGCATGGATCAACACCAAGATTATCCTGGATGTAGCGGACCCTAACTACAGCCGGACCATGGCGAAGGGCGCAGGTGTCACTGGCGATATGTCGACCGCTGATGGCGGCAAGACTTGGACTATCAGCACCATTAGCATCCCTGCGTTTACATTTTAGAGAACATTAAAGAATGTTTCGCTTGGTTAAAAGCATGCTGGATGTGCTTATCGGGCAATGATGGGTTATGAACGTCGCATTGGATCTACATGCTATGTATTGATATATTGAATCAAAAGTTGACCGAGCAGTAACACTGAGGCCTATATCCCGTGATTTTCATTCATTAACCGAAAAAACTTTGAACATCGCCAAGAGAAAAGAAATACCAAGACTGGACCGGCGTCATATCGGGTCAAGTTGTCAAACGGTCCTATTAAGCTGGAGATCTTTAGGGGATTGCGCCACCGCTGTTTCTACCAACATTCGAGAGAATTCTAACTGGAATTGGCTTGCCCTTTGACTAAGGTGTGTGGGTTGAGATAAAGTTTAAAGAAGAGACTCGGTGTACACAAAAGCTGCCTACCATACATATCTTATGCGTGGGGCTATACTGTCGCAGACCTTGATCGTGTTCTCTGCTTGCCGTTGCGGCTGTCCCAAGGGAGCTCCACTACGATCTTCCGCTCGCCTACACCCTTGTTCACCGTCCTGCGCCTTAAAGCTAAAATTATAACGGTGCCTGTAGAGCCCAACGGGACCGTTGTTCAAACGCCTGCGCTTACCGACTGCTCGGTCTTGATGACTTGCCGGGTGCTGGAATCGGCTACGCTGTTACCAAGCTAATGAGGGGTTCAAGGAAGAACCCAGTAAGCTAGTCTCCTTGACGAGTCTTTGCCGGAGATTCTAGACCGGAACTATTCAATGGAGAGATTGGATCGTACCCATGATTGCTTGTTTATTACAACATATTGCATGTGTTTGGCTTACCGTGCGTTCCGATCGCCACTCACCACAGAATCAAGCCAAATCATGGCACCGCGGGCGAGACTTCAATCGATGTGTCGTGATTCGAGGGCCGGGTCCCCCCTGACAGTGACAGCCGCGAGCCTTGACAGCCGCGACCCCTGGCCTGTGCTATATGCCCCAATGGAAGCTAGCGGACGTGTTTTCGGCCTTCTGATTTGCTGGCTCTTGACATGTCTGTGTGCTGTCTAGAGCCCCGTCCTCCCGGTCTTTCCGCCGAGTGTCATGGTCATACGACAATAAGGCCATCCCAAACCGCCGCCCCAATTATCGCCCCCATCGACATCCGATCTTCCCCATGCCCACCAATCAGGATCTTCGTTAATCGGATGCAACACTTTTATAATTAATTCATCTTCCTTCCAGGTTCTGTCCCCTCGGATTCTCGCATCTGGAGCGATGCTCTCTTAAAAATATCCCCCCTCCTTTTTTTTTCTCTTTTGCTTTTTGGCCTGCCAGTTTGTTTTCGGTCCATTCCTTTCAATCCGTCTTTGTCGTCAATTGCTCCAACCTCCCAATGGCAACGCAAACACTGCCAACAATCACTCGCGGCGAGGTCGAGTCTCACCGCTCAAATTCCTCATGCTACGTCACCGTCGGCAACGAAGTCTACGATGTCACCGATTTCATTGAAGACCACCCCGGTGGCGGCGAGCTGATCATGGAATACGCTGGCAAGGACATCACCGCCATCCTCAAGGACGATGCGTCGCACGCCCACTCCCAAGCAGCCTACGATATCCTCGAAGACAAGCTCGTGGGCCTCCTGCCCTCCGCGAACGCAAACGGGAGCGCCAATGGCAGCGCCAACGGCAATGGCAACGCCAAGGGGGCCGTTAGACGCAAGGTGCACCCGCGGACCGGGATGGCGTGCGAGGAGGACCTCAGCGTGGACACCGACTTCGACTTGGACCTTCGAAAGCACAAGTTCTTGGATCTCAGCAAGCCGTTGTTGATGCAGGTGTGGAGGAGTGGTTGGAGCAAGAGGTTCTACCTGGACCAGGTCCACCGGCCGCGGCATTACAAGGGCGGCGAATCGGCGCCATTCTTCGGCAACTTCCTCGAGCCGCTGTCCAAGACGGCCTGGTGGATGATTCCTTTGACGTGGATCCCCTGCGTCGCATACGGAACCTATGTGGCGTCGCAGGGCCTCCATCCCATCGCCCTGTTCCTGTACTTCGGCTTTGGATTCAGTCTCTGGTCGCTCATTGAGTATGCGCTACATCGATTTTTGTTCCATCTGGACTAGTAAGCTACCCCCCATAAAGCTCTCCCAACGTATTCAACACCTAGCTAACACCCTGCCCCTTGCAGCTACCTTCCCGACAACCGAGTAGGAATCACGATGCATTTCCTGCTCCATGGCGTTCACCACTATCTCCCCATGGACAAGTACCGCCTCGTCATGCCCCCGGCGCTGTTCTGCGTTCTCTGCGCACCATTCTGGCCCCTCGCTCACGCCATCTTCTTCTACGACTGGTACGCGGGAACCGCCGGATTCTGCGGCGGCCTCTTCGGATACGTCTGCTACGACATGACCCACTACTGGGTTCACTTCTCCAACCCGCCGCTCTGGTACAAGGAGCTCAAGAGATACCACATGGCCCACCACTACCTGGAGTACGAGCTCGCGTTCGGAATCACCAGCAAGTTCTGGGACGGCGTGTTCGGCACCGGCCTGCCCGAGAACCCCAAGATGGAGTAAAGCAATAAATCGCCCGGCAAGGCTAAGCGTTCTTCTCCTCGTGTTGAGATCAGATCTTGTCTGGTGTGGGCGGGACATCTTTCCACTCTCATCTTGATAATTTAATGTACGAAATATGTGTACGCCGCATTCTGATTAATCGGAAGATGGGAATGATGGGTATAATCTGAAAATGAAAATCTAATTCGGGATGGTTGGGACAGAGCGTGGTGATTTTAAAAGTATTATCAACTGTTGGCGGGGTTGCGAGCGAGTGTATAACTGTCACTTCCGTACTCAATTCGTATTGGCCTTGAAATAAATTAATGGTAAAGTGTGCTCACCTCCTGAAAAGAATTGGTTCTAAGAGAGGTTATTGAAAATGAAAATAAATGTAACAACTTCAAGATAGCAGACAAAAAATGGCGCGCCTGGTTTCGAACAATCAGGATGTTTAAATGCGACAGCCTGTTTTGCGCAGACCATCGTTTTATGTGAAGGAGCCTGATGATAGCTAATGACGGCTGTCCATCAACCTTCCAAAGGAAATAGAACACTCCTGTCCCTCACTTTCTCAAGCAAGCTTAGATCTGAGTCTCGTCTTATTCCCTATCACACGCGTCAACTACAAGCCTTAAAAAGACAGTCTCACTACCAGCTCGGGTTTGTCGATTGTCCAGACCAGAAGCTATGAGGTTGCTTCCCAAACAAGGCGCAGACCCGACCGAGGTTTGTGAATGGAATGATAAGACTCCACTGACAACTGCTGTGAGCACCAACTCGATCCCTATTGTCAAATTGCTTCTGAGAGCGGGAGCGGATATTAATCTGGGCCAGTCGCCTGCTATTTCGCTTTCCGTCTGCGAGGAGGATGTGAAAAAACTACTTTGACCTCCTGCATGGCCATGGGACCAGGCTAGATCACCTGAGACAGGAGCCAGAGGGATGGTTATGGCACAACACCATGATTTTGACGGCCTCCTTCAAGGTCATGGCGTCGATGGCGGTCTACAAGCCCCGCTCTACGGTATTTCACACATACTGTGACTGGCTCACAAGCAATTCATTACTGGCATAAGGAGTGGTGCACGGCTTATAAGAACATATCACCATGTGTGAACTTGAAAGATGTATGCGAGTGTTCCGCGGAGATGTCGTGTGTGGACGAAGAGCATTACCTACATTAAATTTACACGAACACTGTCGACATTCGGATGGAGAGCGAGCTTGAGGTAGTATTTAAGAGGGCAGTAAATCATGATGACATGATGGCCGCGGAAAGGACTATAGCTCAGTTACATCCGTGGAGTATATAGCCAGTAGCCACCTTGGGCTTTTCCCCGCAGCATCCCGCAAGTTCGAAGCCTTCTTTCTCGTAAAAGGCTTGCCCCTTTGCGCTGGAATACACCGTAATCACCCGCCCCTCACCCACACCTGCCACCGCCTTCAATGACTCGAAAATAGCTTTGCCACAGCCTTGGCGCTGGTTGTCTTCATGGGTAGCCAAGGTGCGTAACATTGCAAATTTTTCCCCATACTTGGCGAAGTATGTGAGAAACACATCATTATATGAATAGTACTCCCCATTTCTGGTTGGCGCTAGTAATATGATTAGTTCATGCAGAGACCGTAGGTGATGAGGTTACATACTTGTTATGCCTTCTTCCAATGGTTTCAAGTCCATGACGCCGATGGATATGATGACGCCATTGAGCTCGACGACAATTGTTTTGTATCGCTGAGGATTGTTGATGTACTTTGCATACTTGTCTGAAAGTCTAACCCTGGTTTTCTCCGGACCGTCTCTCTGTTCTCGCTGGGGATTGCCTGCGAAGGCGCTGAAATCAGTTCTGACCATGCCTTGGACGTCTTCCAGCTTGGCATCACGGGGCTGCCACTGTGTTGCCATGTTTCTTGCGACAACACGGAATCAAGTGCGACAAAACAGGATCAGGTAAGGCTCGAGAGAGCACGAGAATAGAAAATGACTGCCACACGACCAAGACGGCGTATGCGCTGAAGTTGATGAGGAGGAGACGAGAATTCAAGTTCAATTGCCACTCGGGAGCACCTATATTTAAGCTCAAAAGTCCTGGCGTGTATGTAGTATAACTGATAAAAGCCAACAAGTTCTCTCATGCATGCAGCAGCAAGAGCACAACAATTTTAGTGGCAAGATAGAGGAGGTACTATATTGACCCATTAGTGCTTACTGCCAGCCCCGCTCGACGGCATGCTGTTACCCCGATGCTGCAGCCGGGCTGACTGGAAGCAACCAATGGATGATGCAAAGAGTGGTCCAGCTATAGCTCAGTTCCCGTCCTTTTTACATCATTGAGTTTCGCCAGGGATGAAATTGTGTACAATTGCTGCCGCGGGAAGCTCATGGGATGGGTTAAATGCACCAGGTATTTCAACACGTACTTGTCTGGGGGCTGGAAGAGGACGCTGGGTTAGAAACAATGCATGAGATGAGACACGGTCTAGGAGTGCACTGCAACGTCAACTCGGCTGGCTATAAGGCTCCAGCCTAACTCGAAGTTTCCCGCGCACCAGCCCACGCAAACTGCAATGGGCAAAGTGCGGTGAGTCGCATAAACTACCTAATGCTGTGCAACCAAGTCAAAAAGCCACCCAAGGAGTCCGAGCCGCCTGCTCGACGAATAGCTGAGAGAGGATAACAAGACCATCGGCGTTACATGTGAAATCAGCCCTGGGATAGAGATGATTGGCAGCTTACTGTGGACCTACTCGCGATATCGGCGTAGTGCATAGTGATCGATCTCATCTCATGCACTCGCAAATAACACTAATTTACTTCCTCCTGCTTCCAAGGCACTCAAAGGTCCCTGGTCGCGGCATATGTCCCTCCAGGAGACTATCGGCCGGTGCTCGCTGATGCTCCAGTACACTAATGCAGTGAGAAGCCACGTTTCCCCGCTTCAGCCTATAAGCCAGAGGCATCTGCTCAAGCAACCCATCGGCTTGAGACACAATGAGGTCACTGTCTCAGGAGCCTGCACGTATGATGCTTGACTTCGTTTTCTCGTCCTCTTTTTATCAAAAGTCAAGATACAGGAAATGAAAGGAGGCCTCCAGAAGCAAACGCTGTTTCAGTTGACGCAGCCGAAGAGAGAGAGGAAACACCCCCCAAAGACCTACGGATATATGCCACTCCTCTGAGTTTCTAGCCCTGGGTCTGCCACAGTATACCGATGCAGGTAAGACAAACACAAGCCGACTCCTGGTCCTTGCCAGCAAGGATGCTCAGCCGCACGTAGCCAGTCACATTGATAGCTGACGACCCGTTGGGTACTTACGCAGCACGGCAGGCGGTTGGGTCCAAACATGAAGCTTTGCCCGTACATACACTATTGGAAGTTAAAACTATACTTCCTTGAGCTGCTTGTGCTCCAGATTGTGCACGTAATGAATCTTAATGCATAGTACTCAATGAGGAGATGCGGCACGATTCCTGGCCGTAGAAAATAGGCCACAATTTCAGTTGCATAATCGCCACATCCTTCGACCAACGTAGAGAAAACTTCGCTACCTCTCGACCAAACACAATAATTTCAGTAATTTAGGCAGAATTCATTCGATTAAACCAAAAAGGATAAAATAGCGATGCCAGTCGTCGCACTCCCAGCCGCCGCAGTCCCACTTATGGCAGTCCCAGCCGTAGGAGTCCCAGCCGTAAGAGTCCAAGCCGTGTCCCAGCCGTATCCCAGCCGTAGCAATCCTCGTGATACGTCCCAGAGGCAATCTCGGGTAAGCACTAGGCGCAGGGAACATGGAAGTTCACAAAGAAAGATCATGCTAAATTGCCTGGAGACACATTAGCCCAGACTCTCACCGAGAAATGCATACACACCCGGCGTAAGCTCTGGAGTGATTCACTCTCATTGTACATAGGTAGGTAGAGATACTTGCCGCTGAAACGCCTGCGCGAGTACTGCCGTAGCCGTGCCCTCCCAATGACGTGTTCCATTCACCGCACGTTGCGCGCACATCGCGACATCGGGCTTTGGAGTTGGGAACGATTCGTCTTGGGGCGTAGCATCTATGCTGATTTACGCAGCTTCCCTATCTTTAACGAGGGTACCTCTTATGTAGATAACCGTTTATCTACAGAATGCTGGTCGCTGGGAAGATGGCAGACCAGATATTATCGCCTTTCAGGCAGCCCAGAACAAGAAGTGCCCTACCAACATAAGGCTCCGTTACATCATATGGCAAGCACTCACCGCCACACAAACTCAGAAGCTCAGCATAACATCATTTTTACATGAAGAGGATTATATTATGCTGGCCTTGGATTATTATGAACTATAATAGTCGTCGCTGGTCTTGGATAGTGAATATAGTACGTTCCCCAACATTATGGAGGACCAGCATCCCGCCACCCATGAAAACCTACACAGTGACGAGCCGAACCTCGAAACTGGCTGTCGGGTTTCATATACCAACAACGCGACACGTCAACAATATTATGTATATATACTATATTCCATATATCGCGCTTAGGCTCAAGTAAATAAAGAGGCTGTCGCGAGCAGCAGCCAATTCATGAGGCCAATTGGACAGCCAGATCATGCACACACGAAGAGGCTGTCGCAAACCATAGGTTAATAGCGCTATGACTTAGGCCCTGAGAGCGCTATAAGAATTAGAGTCTATATGATAATATTGACTGTGTAATTAGCACTAGGTATGCTTAGAAGTTGTTTTTAGCCAGTTGTCGGGCACTTAGATACATGCGACGGTATATAGAGTACTCGAATAAGCCTTTATATTTCATTAGAAGCGATAGTTATAGGATGAGAGTCGTTGATACCGCCCATCCTCGCTGTGAAAAGGAAAAAGCGAGGAACTGCGAGAATACTAAGAATCTAGAGCGTCTCGGTTGACATAAATCACACAGGTGATAGTTCCCTTTTTAAACTACACGGTAGAATTCTCTTATACACGCAGGCAATGGGCATTTATTTAATGATACCTGAGCATACATCAGTTCTTTTAATAAACGATACATATTTGACTGTCACTCCAATTTCATCATCCAGAAAATACCTGGTGAGAGTTTGAGTATAACGTAAAAAACAGCAAGAGAAGATGCCAGACCTGGCATCTCAATACCATGAATGAATACGAAACGTCAACAAAGAAAAAAAAAAAAAAACCCTATGGTTATACGGAAGTCTGCAGAAAATACACCTGAACAATACAACATACAGACCTTAGTTGTTAGCTTAATACATTTTCAAGGTTAATAAGACAACGCAGGCCTTTCCTGGCACGCCCAATACAGACAGTATCCACTTCCACAATCCTTGACGATAAGTGCATGGGATGGTAAACAGCAGTCACATGCGATGACCCCTCATTTGGGCGGTGAAGCCTTACTTCAGTCGGCACTCAAAGCGTCAACTGGTTCGTTTAGCCTATACCAGACCTTGGTACCCTATTATCAGGCGATATGACAGACAACGAGTCCCGGCTATGCCACGTATGTGCATCTATAAACCCTTACAAGCCATGCCAAGGCCCTGAATATCGACCCCGTGGGGTTTCATACTCCACTCATCTCTTCTACCCTCATCATGCCTCCGTTGCGGATCTACAAAACTCCGCTAAGAGATACAAGTGCCAACTTTGCGTCCTCATCTTGACAAGCGTCTCCAACCACAAGCCTGAGGATGTCGCGGAGGAGGATGAGTGGGACTTTGTTCTTGACGAGGCGGGCTCCGAAGAATCTGCTGAGGGCAATGTTCCCGAAGCAGTTGTCGAGGCTCACAACAAAACTTTTGGAAACAAGAATTCACCAGCCATACGGCCGGATGATGTAGATTCTCCTATTGTTCTGGAATTGGTGTTCAGAGAATGTGACCGGTCTGAATTGGAGAGTCGTTGTAGCGATTTCATCGTTCATTGGACAAGTGAACACGAAGATGGAAACGGCCCTACTCGACAGAAAACAACTGGCCTCTGTTTGGTATCTGGACTTGAAGGTGAGTCAAACAAATCCCAGTGCTCTCGTGTCAATCCTGAATCGATGATCTAACAGATGTACACCATAAGATGATTTAACAAGCTTTTATGAGTCCCACGATGGATTAGCAGACCAAGATACAGGAAGCATCCCAGCATTGGATCTAGCGAAGGTCTGGTTTCAGTCTTGCGATTCGTCTCATGAACAATGTCGAAGGGCCAGAGACTTGCGAGCTCGATACTTGCCGACACGCGTGCTGGACGTCAAGGATGAGAAAAATATTTTCGTTTACGTCCCTGGGAGGAAGCAAAGAGATGAGTATGTCAGCCTGAGTCATTGTTGGGGTATCGGGAAGCAGTTCAAACTGGAAACCGGGTCTCTAAAAAGCCGACAAGCGAATATCAATCTGCATGAGATGCCCAAAACATTCCAGGACGCAGTCCGTATTACCAGACACATAAGCTTGCGCTATCTCTGGATTGACAGTCTCTGCATCATCCAAGACTCGGAGAAGGATTGGCTGCAGGAGGCTGCGAAGATGGGTCAGTATTACCGCGATGCCAGCTTCACCATATTTGCCGGGGCGGCAGACGGCGACGATAAGGGCTGCTTCTGGGATCGAGATGGTAGAATGGCCGCCCCTTGCAGGACAGCAATATTTGACAAGCTGCTTCCGGTCATGAAGCCAGGAAGTGGGAACTCTGGTTCCTTCGTCCAGAGGATCTCCCACCACTGGGGCCGAACCCCAATGCCAGCGCAGTATCACTTCCTAGACACTGTCAGGACTTTAGACCCACGACCAAATCCACTCAATGAGAGAGGTTGGACCTTGCAAGAATGGGTTCTCTCTTCTCGCGGTCTCATCTTTGATGAATGGGAGGTGAGATGGTGCTGTCCGACGACTGAGTCTTGTGAATGTATACCTGAGGGCAGAGAGCGACAGCATCTACCAGCATGGTATGGGTTTCCCGACCAGGCGAGCGGAGTAAATGGCACGGCAAAGAAAGAGCCAGACAATCAGACATCCAGGCTGCTAGCGCTTTCCTGGAACCAAATGATCCGTCTCTTTTCTACGAGAAAACTGACATATCCCAAGGACAAGCTCCCAGCCCTGGCTGGAGTGGCTGCCGAACTCTTGAATGAAAGCATGGGACCCTACTTGGCCGGTCTGTGGCAGCATAACCTGCGTCGAGATCTTGCTTGGTGGGTTCCAGCGGTGGCCTTGAACTCGTCGCCAGATGTCACTCGTCGCGCAGCCAGTTATCGCGCACCGAGTTGGTCTTGGGCAAGCATCGATGGAGAACTCAGAACCACCACCATCTATAGAGTAAGCGAGGAGACCGCTTTGCGGGGATTGACGAGGCAAGCGCGCAATTCCGAGTGTCAGATCGTCAAGTGCGAAACCATACCGCGGAGCTCTTTAAACCCTCTAGGAGCGGTGGCAAGTGGCATTCTCGTTCTGAGAGGCCGTATGCGATGCGCAGATATGTTGCCACCCTCCATCCATCATGGTTTCAATACCATAACGATAATAGACCCTGAAACAAAAGAAGAACTCGGTCAGTTCCTCCCAGACGATACTTCTGCTCCTCCTCGCTACACCAAGATCTGGTGCGTTCTTCTCTACACTGGGTCCGACTTGGATATTACGTGCCTTGCACTCCTCCAAGCCGCGGATGGAGAAAGGCTTGCTGCGCAACAGCACTTCTCGATCCAGCCAGATGCATTTTGTAGAGTTGGAATAGTGCGTCTCAAATGGAGAGACCCGGCCATGGGCGAGGCTGTAGGCAATGGGTACACGCATGATGGAGGAGCCGTCAACTATGAGGCTAATGAGGACTTGTGTACATTGGCCGTGTTGCTTGACTGGTTGAACAGAGGCATAGAGCAAGATATATGTATCATTTGACGTCGCATAGAGTAGATCCTGCAATTTATAGCCCAATATACTGTCAGCAGTGGTGGATCTCTGTCGAACCTTTGAACATCATGGAGTGTCTGCCACAGAGGAAACTGATAGCTCGGACGGGATCCAGGAATTCAAGGCCACTCGATGAGTGCTCGATTGTGGCATTGAAAAGCCAGAGTGCAAAATAGACGGTCAGAGCCCATAGAGAGAGCATGGCACTGATCGGAGAAGCTTTGGAATGTTCCTCGTCGGGGATTTGAGCGAGGAGATTGGAACGTGATCCCAGCCTATAGATTCTTAAAGTTAGTAGGCATTATAATGAGCGCGCCCAAGAGAGAAAAGGTGCGATTGTCCGAATTATCACAAAGAGCGAACACCTGCTGCAAGATCGTTTCTTCCCTGGGCATGAAAGTTTGTCGGATTAAAGGTAGGAGTTCCGCGCAGAAGGTATTCGGTACAATCGCCGAGGATTGATCGTTGGGTTCAATTTTCTTGCCATTCGTGTCGCTTTGTTTCAAATTCGGGCGAGGGTCCGCGTGAGGCCAAGGTAGAGAGGGTGCTCTGATACTGCGTTCTCTGCATTGACGGGTGTAGTTTATGAGACAAGACATTGGGGAGAAGAATGAATGACAGATGGAGTGTTCTGCAAAACGTATTTCCTGGATTCACGACACGTACAAGGTACCAATGACCGGTGTGAGGCAAGAGGGAAGGAGCGAGACTAGCTGCAGCGATGGGAAAGAGAGTTGGTTGAGGACTCGTGGCTGCCTCAGGTATCATGCCAGATGTTGGTCAACAGGAAACAAGCGCACGCTGCACAGCCTCGGCAAGGCGAACTACTAGGTCTATTTCTTACCATGCAATTTGTTAAATGTTGGGCAAAATCTACTAAGATATGCATGTGAGCAATGCCCAAACTTCAGGCTGAAATCATATTAAATGCCCAAGGCTCTGTATCAGCGTGGGAAAGTGCACAGTTGGAAAGGGAGTCACTGTCTCCTGACTACATGCAGGTACGCTGAGGGACAGTTGGGTGGTGGCACTCGTCCATGGATGTTATACCTGGCATCACGCTCGGTCTCTCATGGGCAGACATAAATATATTTGACTTAGGAACTAGGATAAGACTACCTGTCATTCAGCTACCATTTTGTATGAGCCCAGTAAATATCCAGACTCGATACTAAAATCAACCTGTTAGGTACTGTCGATGGGTCATTGCCCATAACCGGCCGGGGATTGTGTCGTTAATTATCTCGTGAGTTTTTTCTCATTTTACACCCTTTTTTTGCGTTTCTTTCTGTTGCTTTTTTTGGGACTTTTCTTCTTGGGTCAAGGTAGTGATGTTTTTCAAATGTCCTCGTGTCATCACTCAGTCAAATTCTCGCCCTTTCATTGCACTACCTTGGCTGCAGCTCAGTTGAACAAACTGCGAACAGGCTCCCGCATAAACTTGATATGGTTTTGGGTGACAATTTGCAAACGTTGAATTCACGAACAGTGAATGGAAATTTGCAACCTAGAGGGCTAATTGAGGAGCACTCCCTTCTCTTTGAGCCGACGTGCTTCCACCCTCTTCTGAGCTTCGCCATCCATGAACCCATGGACATAGGCGGTCCCCACGTAAGTGTATACGTCTCGCTTGTCAAGTTTGCCCCTTGGGCGTAGTATAAGCGGGACTCTCGCTCCCCTCACACATGCAATGACGTCTCCCGGCTGAGCATGTTGCATCATGGTGAATAATCCGTTCTTGGTGACGTCGAAAGTCCAGTGCCTGCTGTTGCGTCGGATCATCTCGTGGTTCGGGGGCTCGATCTCGGACCAGAAGCCCATCTCCGGGTTGACAGAATCGTTGCCGCTCAAGATTCCGTTGAAGATGCGATCCATTGTCGGCCTCTTGTCCTTACCGGTTCGCCTGATGGGATACGCCACACAGTCCGTCATCAGCGTTCGCCAAAGGGCTCGGACCAAGGTCTCACCCGTCGGCACATACAACTCCCTGCGCTCGAGCTTCGCCAGGTCGAGGCCAGCGATCGTGAGCCATTGGCGCAACTCAGCGTTCCAGGATTTCATGGCGGCGTCGCGGGGATAGGTTTCCTGGGAGCATAAACCTTTGCCCATGATGTCGTTCTTATCCTTCAGGACGTCTCGAGAGATTGTGCCGATGATGGTGGCCATCACTCCCAGGTATTTGAGATGAAAAATTTGAAAAGGGTGTTCGCTGGGTTCTGAAGCCGCGAATATATCATTTCGGCCGAAGAGCAGCGCCTCATGGTTTTCGTACCCCAGGCTGTTGGCGAAATCGGGCACCCAATTGGGCAAGCCACCAGTGCGATGAGACGCCACCGGACCGAACAGAGCTCCGTCCGGGTCATGGCGCGATCTCCAGGCTGTCTGGCAAATGAGATCCAGAGTGTTTGTGCTGTTGATGATGGCAAGCGCGGTCTCTGTGAACAAGCTTGCCGCCGAGTCGTAATAGTTCGCGTGAATGCGGAGCTTATCATTCACCAGGCCGAGAACACCGTGGACGTAGTCCCTGGGGTCTGATGCCTTGCTTTCCGCGAAACGCGTAAGCACGTCTAGGAGAGTCGGTTGCTTGCCCTTCCGCCGTGGCAACCTCTCTTGGATCTGGCGGTAGTGCTCAATCTTTAGCGGTGTGGCAAAAACATAGTTGAGCAGTTTGGTTAGGTAACCGTCGTCGGGGGAAGCGTAAAAGGCGTTTGAGTAGTAAACATCCTTGAGGAAGAGATTGATGAAACGCCAGCTCAGCTCGTGATATCCGGCAACCAGCACGAGCCGATGGCCAACTACCATTTCTTGCATGATCCAAAGGCGTCTCCAAAAAGAAGGCTTGATGAATAGACGGCGCATGAGCTCCGACTGCTCTCTGTTGAGGAGAAATGGGGCACCAATTGGTAAATATCGAGATTCTGCATGCGCAGGCTCGGGCTCCCTTGCACGACGGGACGCATGAGCATCAAACTCTTCGCTAGCGCGGAGGAAAGTGGCATGCATTCCAACAAGGGTCCCATAGTCGTGTAGGCAAATCCTTCTCGTCAATTCCATAGCTTCGCCCATGATCCTGACGTCGGACTTGGATTCTTTGACGATCAAATGATTACCTGAAGACCAAGCGAGGTCGTCATTGGTGGCGACGGAGTCCAAGGTCGGCAGCCAAGCGAGAACGACTTTTGAGCGCGAGTAAATCTTCTTGATGAGGTGCGCCTGCTTGCTGCGTTCCGAGAGGTCCCTCTGATTAATGCAGAGCGCATCAACCCACAGTGTGCGTTCCTTTCTGGCTGATCGGAGATAGCGCAATGCCAGCTCGAGGTTTTTGGTGATTCGGTGAGGCGTGCCGTTAAGCGTAATAGAGTGGATGAATAGCGGCTCGTCCCATACATACGACAAGGCTTCATATTCTTCAATTGGGTCGCTTTGGAGCTGGATGTGGACGAGGTTGCAATTGATAGGCGCACCAAAATTGTCCGCTGGTGAGAGCTTCAGTACGCGCACCTCTCCAGCCGAGCTGTTCAGCTCACTGTAGATGACTGGCGCATCCTGAACTCGAAGATGGTGTCGCAGAAATTGATGCACCGGTCTCGCCGCCATTATTGGATGTCCCCTAGGCTATGGCCAGGGATGGGATGGAATGCGTGAGGTCTGGTCATGGAAAATGTTGATGATGGTGGGAGGATCAAGGCTGTGGCACGGCACAAGCAGGCGGGGGATTATTTTATCGGAAACCGGGGTGGCATTTTTCCCAGGCTGCTTGGGACGGGAGGTAGCAGCACTCTCTGCACGCCTGGCGATACATGTTGGTCTCATGCGAGGGTTGGACGTGCAGGTTGAGCGCGGGCTGGGAGGAGGTAGGTGTATCGTCGTTGAGTCGCAGTGCAGTCTGCTTGACGTGGCTCGGATGCTGCCAAATGTTCTCTGCAACCAGTGAGATCGAATTCATGGCACCTGGCGGGGGAACAGAAGCAGCACTGAAGTATCGCGAATGTCGCATTGTGCGCGTCGCATCGATGCACGACGAGGGTGGTACAACACCCCCTTCTGTGGATGGACAGGCAATAATCAATCACGTTGGGCACGATGGTGGCTGCTTATTATTTCTTTTGCCATGCACAAACCAGTTAGTGCTGTCTCACAAAACTTGCTCGTGGGCTTGGGAGCTGCCGACGGTCGCTTCAGCGCCTGTTGGATAAAACGAAGACGTAAAAAATATGCAGAGGAAGAAAAATGTGTTTTGCACATCAAATCAGGTATCGCACGTTGATTGTCTGCGTGGTGCTGGAGAGAGCCTTCAGGTTGTTTCAGGCAGCAATTGAACCTCCTTCCCGAGACTGCAACTGTAGTATTGGGGTAATGGAGGGGGGGAAGGAAGCACCTCAGGTTCATGCGCAAATGCCCAACTACCACACATTGAGCGCAGGCAGTTCGTGTATTAGATACTTGAACCACCGTTGGTTGGCACCGACGGTATCGTGCATCCAAGTATCTGTACCATGAATCATGTCGCTGTTAGTCAGGTATTGCCGCAGCTGGACGTTCTTGGGGAGCACCAGCTGCCGTTGTATTCCCCCTTACCCTTGCAGGCTGCCGTAATGCGCTGAGGCCGTTGTCGGCAGACGCAGCACATGCAAATTGTCCCACAGACGAGCGAGCGATGAGGTGAACAGATTATGCACACGGCCAATGGATGCATGCATGCGGTTTCAGAAACAATGTCAGTTCATTCTTCTACTATCGGCGTATTTCTATGATAAAAAAAAAGCACACCCCCCCTCCAATCCTGCTCCAGCTGCCCAACGACCAGCGCAATTCGTTTCAAAGATACAGCAACGGCACGGATACCTGCTCCGGTTGCCCGTCTACAAATTTATTGTCGCAGCGACAGTGTCGCCACATAGAAACCCACACCTACTTAGGCTGAGCTGGTTGGGGCGCTCGAGGGCGTAGCAGAAGGTGTGCTGCCGGGGCCGCCACCAGGAGCACCACCACCACCGCCTCCCATGCCAGAGTTGGCGTTCTCGACACCGCCGTCCTCGTAGCGGAAGGCAGCGGGTGTGACCTCGGTCGAGGCAGTGACGTTGATGCCGAAGGCCAGCCAAGCAAACAGGCCCTGGCTGGCATCATCGCCGAGCAGAGTGTACTCCATGACGGGGTCAACGCCATCCGTAGCCACCTCCTCGGACAGGATGGAGTCCTCGGCGTTCGTCGTGATCTCCTGTGTGTTGGTGTTGTAGGGTTCAAACAGCTCGACTTCGCTGATGAGGTCCTGGTCGAAGAAAGCCTGGCCGACATGGCTGGCGTAGTTCTCATTGCCAAGCGTGTAGTTCTTCTGGAGAGTCGCATTGGTGTGAACCATGACGTGGATATGCGTAGCACGGCCAGTGTAGTGGCCGGGGAACAGAGAGAGAAACTGGGCCACACCATTGTCGTTGGTGGGCTGGATGCCTCGCAGGAAGGTGTTATCAATGTTGGTTTCGTCACTCGAGTCACCGTTGCCACTAGCCACAACACCAGAGTAAACACCAGTTGAGTTGCAGTGCCACATCTCGAGGTACACGTCTGGAACGGGCTCGCAGGTCTCGACATCAATAACCTGGTAATCAAGAATGATCTCGACGCCCTCCTGGTCTTCAATCACCGAGTAGCGGACATCCTCGCCGGACACATCTAAATCTCTGTAAGTGGCTGCTTCATCCCAAGATACTCGTGTTTGCGACTTACAGTATGGGCCCTGGGTAACCTCCGGGGTAAGGACACAGGAGTTGATGCTGGCAAAGAGGGTGGCGGCGTCCGTGTTTGGGGAATAGTGCTGATCGGTCATGTTGTGAGATTTCGACAGGATCCCATCGAGGTCACGCTTCTTCTTGCTGTCGAGTCCTCGCTTCTGGCGGGCTGCTTCAACAACGACGGAGCGCCGAGCCTTGTTCTGGGCGTTCAGACCATTCTCCTCCCACCTCTTGGCGCAGTGCCTGAGAGAAGGCTTCTCGACAGCCTGAAGGAACTCTCGTCGTTCCTTGGCCTCTTGCCTCACGTCATGTCCAGGGTGGGCAATGACACTGCTAGCAGCGACGGCTAGTACACAAAGGGTCTGAGAGCGCATGTTGATGTTCTTGTTGTGGAAATTGCAGGTCCAGGGGAAGGGGTTTGGTAATAGGAGAGAAGGAATAGAGATGTCTGTGGTAGGAAAAGAATGTTATGGTTCGTGGCTGACCTTCGCAGTTATTATACTAGGCTTCTCTCTGTGTGCCATGGAGTGTGTTTGCTATCCCTTTTGACTGTCGTCGTCAACAACGGTTTCATCGCTAGGCTCCTAGCGTCCACTCTAAGGCTCAACCAGGGGCAATTGGCCAATGCGCGGTGCCGTTGAGAACTACGCAGTTTTCCCAGAAGCCCCGATGATGGCATCTTCGAGGCCTGAAGCCAATCAAAGCGGCCGTTTTGTCATACGCGGCTTTGGAGGATTGCGTTGCCCTTCCGGGGCGGTGGGGATTGGGCGCTCCGCCTCGGCAGTTGCATCGCATCTCGGTTCCACAAAGCTTGAATCCAACAAGGCCTTGAATCAGGAAGAGACAATTGGTAATGGGCTGTGGATACTCGGGCAGGTCGATTAGTCCGGATGGGATTGCCGGTCCGGCACTAGAACTGGTGGAGTTGAAAAAAGCCCCGTCATGGTGACGCGGACGGGCAAAACCTGCGAGGGCGCGCTGGGACATGACAAGCTGGTGCGTCTGCATGGAACCCCGTTGAATAGGCGAGCGATCGATGCATCTGAGGGCCTGTATGCACAAGGTTGTTTCCGATGTCGTCTTCTGCGTTCGAGTTTCGGTCTGCCAGACGGCGCCAGTTGTCAGAAGCTTGGCTCTGCCCTGCCAAGACGTAAAATTACGCTTAATATTGGGTCGCCAATAGCCTCAGCCTTTATTCCAAGGCCAAGCCAAGCCCGCCAGCATAAGTCAAACTAAAACTGGTGACCGGGTAAACGGCACTGGGAAACAAACCCAAAAGCGCTGAAAGCCACAGGTCAACGTGTTCCGGTGGGCCATCTAGCAACGGGCATGTCAAGAAGGCTCAGCCTCATTTCGGCGGTGGACACCCAAAACGAGTCATGGCTGTCGATCACTCGAGATGGACTACGATTGACGAAGCCCCCCTAGCAAAGCACAGATGGTTCCGAAGTTTTACCTCTCTCGGAGTATCAAAGGAAGCTTAAGTTAGCCCAAGTGTGTGGCAGGCCGCGAAACTTACATTTTCACTACCCGAAGTGGCTAATTGAAGGCCGCGATACGAGCCCCTGGACGCGTGGTCTTCTTAACAAGAATTGTCGAACTACGTCAAGACTATTATTGGATCTTGAGACATTGTCGGTATCTCTATTCCATTCTTCTAGATGGTTGAATTTCTATTCTGTCTCCACCACATAGTATCAAGCGTCATGCGGACAACACCAGATCTCCACCCGTGTGCGTGTGCGAGGATTAAAGGTACCAAACAATGCACCTTGAACCTCATACCTCGAGGAGGATAAGCTCCGCGCGTGCAGAAAGTAATTTCATATTTAAATGTAAATCTTTTTCCCTAAATTCGATTTATTAGAGGTCCTAATCTTTGGAAATGATCAAATAAAAGCAGTGACGATCATCTACCTAGAATGCAACCTGGACACGCGTACGCCAACTTCCTAGGCCCATAATGTCCGGCAAATTTCTGTCTAATATCAGATTACATTATTGAGCTAACTACTAATCAATGCTGCGGATGAAGTCTCCCTACATGGTGTTTCTTGCTCTGGGCATTGTTCAAGTAAACTTCGAAACATATCACGTGGGGAGAGAAGCATTGGACATTGCGTCTCCAGGTAGGTAACCGCACGTGAACAAAGAGTGAGCATGCGGTGGCAACTTTTCCCGAGTGGACTTGACTGCCCCCGCGGTGTTCCTTGGTTCTCACCTAAGCGGATAGACTTAAGTACGTACCTAGGCAGAGCACAGTCGTTCGTGGGTGGCGAGATGCGCATCCATCTACAGCAACTAAGCAAGTGTTCAACTTAAATATGGTGATGAAATAAGTCTCGATACAAATGAAAAGACGAGCTTACAATCTCCAAGAACTATCATACATGGACAGAGCACGAACCACGCTTGGTGAAGAAGGCCCCCTCAGTTTTCCCACTACTTACTTGCCTATCGCCCTGAGAGTCCACCAACTCGCCCTGGTTTTCCAGACGGTAGTGGCCTGGAGCCCCAGAACCGTAGCTCAGGCCCTCCCGGCCGCTATCATTGATCATTGATGTCACTGTGCCCGTGGGTTACTTAGGGCATTAGGGCTGTGACTACGTTACGTGTCGGCAGGAGCTCCTTCTCTCCAATTCCTCAACCTTCCATTCCATCCTTCTCACCTCCGGCATCCTTTCTTCATCCAAATCTCTGACGGTGTGGGAGATCTAGTTATCTCGGTCAGTTCGACCTTCATTTGCTATTGATCTATTACTTCAATAAAATTACCAAGGCCCCTGGTCCGCGACCAAAACAACAACTTTGATCGTCTTACGATATACCTTTAACCACCACCTTGATTTACCAGGGGCGGCCTTCGCG